TATCCAGTTCGTGGAAGAAATGGAATAGGAACAAGTTGGTTGTGACCTCCTTAACGATCATACCTCTGCATGGTCTCCAAACAGTGGCCATTGTGTCTTTGAGGAAGTTGAATTTCACAGGCCGCTCAGTAAGAAGTTTCCCCACAAGAGTAAAGGGAGTCTCAACTTTCGTATCAGCTTGAGGATCTTCCTCCAAGTTCACCAAGAAATCTTCATCATCATGAATGGACATAGAAGCGTAAGCTTCATCAATGTTAGAGGGATCATAACTGCTTGAGGCCATGGGGGACGCAAGGTGAAAACAGATTCGAGAAACAGGAAGCACAACTAGAGAATGAGGCTCAAAGGATACTAGTAAGAGACAAATGTGAGGAACTGCACTACAAAAAGGAGGCTTACACTTAACTCTGAGGAGTTAATGCAAAAGGGGAAGGGTAGGTAGAAGAAGTTAATGAAACAGTAATATATTTTGTTGGAGGGTTTGCATGAAAAAACTGTGTAAAAGCTGAAAAGGGGGTAATAATGATTCGCTGCTGAGTAAGAAGCTAAGGAGAAAAAAAAACATAAAGCTTGTCACCATGAACAAGAAGGAAAGAAACTTGTCACCATGGGAATGTGGATAAAGATGAAGAAACAAGTCACTTGACTCCCCACCCTGGCCCCACACTCCGACCCAACAGAGCATGTGAGAGGATGTAAATCACGGTAATTCAATGGTTCAGCAGACTGGGTCAATGTCAGTGCACACAAGGAATTTGCCCACTTTAAACATAATTTTCACATTATGGCCGAACTTTGGTCTCTTCTCTCAAATACTGTTCACTAAACCATTGAGCTAAACTTGTACTGATTCCCCTTTCATTCCTACTTATATACTCTATGCATAAAGAATTTTCATCGTATCTGATCAATTTCATAAACTTTGTGTCTCGGTACTTAAATTCTTAATTTTTGTTTGGTTTTATTGTATTTTATTTAATATTTTATTGGTTATTGTGTTTAGACATTGCTGGATTAATTGCGCTTTATATGTCTTTAACATAACAACGAATGGTCGAATCAGCAATTTAATTCGAAGAGTGAGTTACTAGTACATATAACGATGTATCAAAGTGTGATTTAAAGGTCTCAGGTGACTAGTTGTGTAATCTAATCACATGTGGTTTTGGCGTATTCTAAATTCTCATACAATTTCTATAAATTCAATTTTTTCGCATTAATGACAATAGTATGTATACAAGTTTAAAAAAATTATACAATATTGATCAGGATTTATGTCTTTTGTCATTACTATTACTATGAAAGAGAAAAATTGTTGTAGAACCTAATATGTATATCTCAAATAGTAGACATTGGTCTACCGAACATTAAAAGAAAAAAAAAAAAAAAAAACTGATATTGATAAACATATGAGAAATTTTATAAAAACGCAATTAACGATTCTAAAAAGAAGTTATGTAGCTAGATTTGTTAGCATTCTGTGTGCTGCAATTGGTAGTTTGGTACATAGAATCTTCCACACAAAAAAATATATATTATATGATTATTTATTATGGGACCGATTATTTTTATATATATGGTTGATCTAACCCATTTTGAGCCACACATTTATATGGTATGTTGTGACATTATAGTTGGTAGTTAATGTTGGACAACTCTTATGGCTCTCATTAATCTTCATATTCTGTCATTTGTGGTCATCATTGCATTAGCCTATACGCCGATTTACGTCCATGCTATCACAGATACATGGGAATAATAATAATAATAATAATAAGGGTATATATACATACATAAGTTTGTTTATCATATTATAATATTTTCCTAACTAGATTCACGATACAAAATTTTTTCAATACACACTTTAAAATAATAGTTACAAATTTTTATCGTTAAAATACTCTTTTATTATTTTATTTTGTTTGTGCCGCAACAAATCTGCATACCTACGGACATAAGCTGATGACCTCAACCATAACTGTCTGTGAACATACTTTGAAACTACCAAACATATCACAAACCTCTGACATTAAAATTATCGAATTTACCATTTGTATCAACTTCCAAGTCTAATAATGTGCATACTAGGAAAATGGAGTTTTTATATACCTTAATTATAATAGTTATTAGTATTTGTCATTTTGTCTCATTACAATTCTTTTAATTGATGAAATTTTCAAAATTTAATTAAAAAATGTTAGTTTGTAGTCAACCAAATCCCTAGTGTGTAGGTAGGGCAGTAGGGGTGTAAAGAGGATCGAAACCCATGGACTAACCTTAAACCGCTCAATGTGGGATGTGTTAATTCTAAAACTTTGAACCTGCTTGCGAGCTTAGTGGGCTATTACACAATTATGAAGTTTATTCAATGAACATTAACATATAATGATTGCGATTTTTTTTTTTGTTCACAAAAAAAGTATATTGATGGATATATTATAAATAGGTCCGGAGCAAACCAACTCAATGATCAGAGCGCGGCAACTACTACAAAAATATATAAATTAATTCTATCATATATAAATATAAATATAATTGAAATTATGGAAGTTGGACGCACGTGGTAAAGTACGTGCTACAAAAAAGTATGAACAAATTCCTTTAAAAATACATTAAGTAAATAATACTCCGTAATTAATAATTAAAAATCCATTCATCCATTTTTAGATGTACACGTATCATCCTTTGTACACGTTTGCAGCAGCTGCTAAAACGAACTTTATTTTCTTTGGAATTTTTATATTACAAAAAAAAAGAAAGAAAGTACGAACCAAAACGGGTACGCCGTGAATTGTTTTTTTTTTTTTTTTTAAAAATTTAAATCATAAGAACTTCCATTAACTTGAATATGATATTAACACATTACAAATGATAAGTGGAGAGTTAAAGAACCACTTCGAGAAATCATGAAAAAATTAAATTGTCTAGCAAGTATATGAGGTGTCTGGTTCGTTGATCTTTTGGTAAACGAAAGAAACACATTACAAAAATCATGCAATAAGTGTTTAATATCCTCAACAATTAAATGAAAAGAAGATGCTCCGCTTTTGGATTTCAGACATTGAACAACTTGAAGGGAATCAGATTCCACCTGCACATTATCTATATCGTGCGACTTGAGCCAACTTAGCGCTTCCCGAAGGGCGACTGCTTCGGCTTCCCTGGGGCTGAAAATACCCTTCCACTGAACTCTTCTCGCTGCAATGAAGTTGCCTTCTTCATCACTTATCACACTGCCAAGACCCATTGCTGCTTCATTCTTATTTAGAGCTGCATCAACATTCATTTTGAGCATTCCCATCTGAGGTCTTATGAATTGGGCTTAGAGCATTCATAATAGTTGAGATATTTCGTGATTTTTAGGAGTTTTTATAAGTGTGATTAGGAAAGAGAATATAAAGGGAGAAAAAAATAAAACTGATTAAAAAAAAAAGCAGTTATGCATGCTGACAGCGCGTGCAGCTGGCCGCAATGTGAAGCCCACGCGAAGAATTTGCGAAAGAAAGAATCTTGTCAGTGGGTCCCACGATCTAAAATAACTCATTCCTTGCAGAGTAACTTTTTCTCTCTCTCCACCACCTCATCCATTATTGTACCAAAAACTCCTCAATATGTTCTGATATTGATGCTCTTAATATGGGCCATGTGGGCCTTTTAGAAATCCACGCAACAATATGCCATGGGCCCGGTCCACTTGCAAGGTGGATTCGGGTCAAAATACACAATTTATATATTGAATGTTCACAATTTACATACTGAATATTCACAATTTGAATTGCGAGCATTAGTAATTTAGTATGTAAATTATGAACATTTAGCATATCAAATTATAAATATTCAATATATAAATTGTAAACGTTCAATATATAAATTGTGTATCCCTATTTTTTATTCAAATTTACCTTATAAGGTGGACTCGAGTTATCGCAAATTATTTTGGACTCACTTGGGTAATCGCAAATTATTTTGTGGATTCGAACTTACCTCAAGTTGGGCTAACATTTGTTTGGACTAGAGAAATCTCAGCCCAACCTAATAAAAATAAACTAAATAAGCCCAACTTATTAAATTGAACCCGTTTTGACAATTCCTATCAAAACATATTTTTGAATAGGTTTGTAGTCAATCTAAATGAACCATGTACTATGTAGGCCACTTGTGTTTCCAAATCGCAGGTTTATTGGAATCTATTAAACGTTGTTAATACGGCAAATTTTTCTTTCTATTCAAGTGTGTGAATATTATTAATATATTAAAAATACATTGTTTGATAATATATAAAATAATGTATTTTCAACACTCAAATAATATATTTTATATACATAAATAATTTACATCTTATTAATGATTCATACACCTGCGTGGACTATAGCTCATAAAGTAATAATTATTGTTAACACTTAACAATACTAAATCATAGACCAATTTAAATTTAGAGTCATGCAATTATTTCCTCTCTAGATTCTCTCTAGGGTTTTCGCAGACCTACTAGGGTTTTCCTAGGTTTTCAGACAATTTTGTTCGTATTCTTCCTGAAAGATGGCCGACGATATTGATATGGATGGTGTGGTCAATCAACGTGATGCGAGGTTGGCCGAGGCGGAGGAAACGCGTGGAAGAGAATTGCCGAAGGAAGTGAATTTGCCAAGGCCGACGGAGGGCATGCAGGAGACACGTAGAGCTGTTGGTTGGGGGCAAGTGGGGAGGGAATTGGGGGTGGATGTGGGGCTACAACCGACACATATATTACCGGAAGGTGGGGGAAGGGGGGAACGTGGCGGAGGGATGAGGCAAGAGGTAGTTAAGTTGGCAGGGAGGTTTGGCGGTGGTTGCGTGGGCGAGTTGGTGGGAGATGACGTGGGAAGTAGGGGTGATGTGGGCAATTTGGGAAGAGGGGGGAATAGGGACAATACGGAGCAGCGTGGGAGGGGGGCTGGGAGGTGTACACGGCAGCAGGGGGTAGGGGGGTTGTGGCGGAGTTGACGGATAGATGGGCGGAGATGGCTTTGATGGAGGAGGAAGGGGCGGTGTTTATGCCGGAAGGTGGGGATGGGGTAGTAGAGGGTGATGGGGATGAGGAGGAAGAGACTTGGAGGATTGTTGGGCGGTTTTTGACACAGAAGATGGTAAAATTGGACTTTATGAGGCAGGTTCTGGCATCTGTGTGGCAGCCGGTACGTGGAGTACAGGTAACGGAGATTCAAAGGGGTTTATTCTTGTTTGTGTTTTTCCATAAGACGGATGTGGAATATGTGCTGAATGGAGGACCCTGGGCCTTTGAGAATAATGCTTTGGTGTGTCGGGAGGTGTTAGATGGGGTGAATCCTGTGGATGTGGAGCTGGATATGATTGACATGTGGGTACAGTTGCATGACATGCCAAAGGGATACACGTCGCATGCAATTCTGGAGCAGGCAGGAAATTTTTTGGGCTCTTTTGTTAAACATGATGACCGGTTTGAGGGGGCGCCATGGCTAACGTTTCACCGTATTAGGGTGTCAATTTCGGTTGATAGGCCGCTTAGGAGGAGGATGAGGTTGATGAAGAGAGATGGGACTACAGCATGGGTAAATTTTAGATATGAACGGTTGCATAAGTTTTGCTATTTTTGTGGCTGTATGGGTCACTTGCATACGTTCTGCATACACGCTAGGGAGGCTGGAATTCCGGTCGAGAGGTACCTGTACGGTCCGGATTTGCGAGCTGGTGGATCCCGGAGCGCTCCTAGAGCGGTTGGGGATAGCTGGCTTGTTCCGGTAGGCGGGAAACCACGACCACTGGGAGTCAAGCCACGTGTGGTGGATGGGGGACAGGGAAGCGGGGGTGTCACACCCACAAGTATGTCTGAGGATGAGGTGGTGGTGGCTACGGCAAAGCGTCGTAGGCATGGAACGGAGGGGGGAGAGGATGATGGAAACGATGAGGTACCAATCGCAGCTGTTTCAAAAAACTTGTCCATGGCGGGAGCTGGTGTCCAGCCCCGCCCATCATCATGAGTACTCTGAGCTGGAACTGTCGTGGCTTGGGCAATCCACGCACAGTTCGACAGATTGTGGGCCTTGCGTCCAGTAAGAAGCCTGATTTTGTGTTCTTGATGGAGACCAAGGTACCACGGATACATGCAGAACGGATCCGGGTTACGCTTGGTTATGAAGGTTTGTTTTATGTTGATAACGATGCTTTGAGTGGTGGAATGACGCTTTTATGGAAAAAGAATAATACGGTGAGGCTGTTAAGCTACTCACAGAGTCATATTGATGTGGAGGTAAGCTTGTTTAATAAGATATGGCGCATGACATGCATTTATGGTATCCCCGAACGTAGCAGGCGGGAGGAGACATGGGATTTACTTGGTACTCTCAAGACTAGATCCTTGTTGCCCTGGGTGGTGATAGGGGATTTTAATAATCTACTATACCAGCATGAGAAGAAGGGGGGAAATCCGTATCCTAATAGTTTGTTAAGGGGTTTCGGAGATGCTGTGGATGACTGTGGTTTGGTGCAAATGCCAATGAGGGGCCATCAGTATACGTGGCAGAAGGGAAAGGGAACGCCGAATTGGATAGAGGAAAGATTGGACAAGGCATTAATAACGAATGATTGGGGTCTACTTAATGAGAATGCATGCCTGGAGAATATTCGAACCCGGGCCTCGGATCATTCGATCCTATTCCTCAGTATTAATGCGTTTTGCATGCCGAGGAGAAGGGGGTCGCGGAAGTTCAGATTTGAAATGGCTTGGCTATTAGATGAGGGGTGCAAGGAAGTAGTACAAACGGCCTGGCAAGAAGGGAGAACGGAGGGATTGCTGCATTGCCAGCAGTTGTGTGGAGAAAAGTTGATGCAGTGGGGTGGAGATCAGTTTCATAGATTCGGAAAACGAATTAACCACCTGCAGCGGAGACAAGATGCCATACGGAATAGACAAGATATGGTAGCGTTAGTTGAGTACCAACAGATTGAGAATACCATGAGACGAGTAGAGGCCCAGGAGGATGTGTTTTGGAGGCAGCGGGCCAAGCAGCACTGGCTACGCGGGGCTGACGCAAATACTAAATTTTATCACAGGTATGCCTCTGCATGTAGGAAAAAAATTTTTATTTCTACTATTAAATGTGATGCTGGTAACTGGGTGGAGGGGGATTATATGCATGCTGCTATACAGAATTACTTTGAAAATATTTTTGCCTCTAATGGATTGAGTTGTGATGATCCACTGTTTGGAGTCCTAACCCCACGAGTAACGTTAGAGCAAAATATGATGCTAGACCGCCCTTTTGAGACTAATGAGGTTAAAGAGGCTCTTTTTTCAATGTATCCGGATAAGGCACCGGGTCCGGATGGTTTAAACCCGGGTTTCTACCAGCAGTTTTGGGAGATAGTGGGAGGACATGTATCTGGCTTTATAATGAATGCTTTGAATTCCTGTGTATTCCCTGAGGGATTGAATGATACTAACATTGTCTTGGTACCGAAGAAGGAGATGCATGAGATAGTTGCAGATCTAAGGCCGATAGCATTGAGTAATGTCGTTTACAGGATTATGGCCAAAATGATAGCGAATAGAATGAAAACACTGATGGGAGGATTGATATCAGAATCCCAGAGTGCTTTTATCCCGGGAAGGCTAATCACTGACAACATCCTGGTGGCAGCAGAGGTGGGGCATTATCTGAATAGAAAGCAATGTGGTGTAGTGGGGTGGAGTGCATTGAAGTTAGATATGTCGAATGCCTATGATAGAATGGAGTGGAGCTTTCTAGAAAGGATGCTGACTGTTATGGGTTTTAGTGAGAAGTGGATAAAACTCATTATAATGTGTGTAACGACTGTTAATTATACTGTAATGGTTAATGGTATAGCAGGGGGCATGTAAAACCAACCAGGGGACTCAGGCAGGGAGACCTGCTCTCTCCGTATTTATTTATTATTTGTGCAGAGGCTCTCTCGATAATATTACAGTATGAACAGTTGGCAGGTTCAATACATGGATGCAGAGTTGCAAGGGATCACACCTATTTTTTGCGGATGATAGTCTCCTATTTTTTAAAGCAAATATTCAGGAGGCAGGAGTAATAAGGCACTGCCTTGCAAGGTATGAAAAATTGTCAGGCCAGGTGGTGAATTATAATAAATCTAATATATGTTTTAGCAGAAATACCCAGGAGGCTGACAGGGCACAGGTAGCGAATTGTCTGGGGGTGGTGCAAGCACCCAATTTTGGGAAATATTTGGGTCTACCATCTTTTGTAGGGAGAAATAAGAGAGCTGTTTTTTCGTATGTGGAGGAAAAAATCAGGCAACGAATTGGTTCGTGGAGTAAAAAGTTACTCTCTCAGGCTGGTAAGGAAGTATTATTGGAAAGTGTAGCGCAATCTATGCCTACCTTTTCGATGAGTGTTTTTTTGTTACCTGAGACAGTTTGTCAGTCAATTGAACGAACTATGAATAAATATTGGTGGGGCAGTGGAAGAGAAAGGGGAATACATTGGAAGGCATGAGACAGGTTGTGCATACCAAAAAAGTATGGTGGTATGGGTTTTAAAGAGCCGAGGGCTTTTAACCTAGCAATGTTGGGTAAACAGGCATGGCGATTTTTAACAGACCCAGAAACACTCGTAGCTAAAATCTATAAGGCAAGGTATTACCCCACAACCAGTTTTACAGATGCAACTATTGGTAATTGCCCAAGTTACTGTTGGAGAAGTATAATGGCAGCCCATGCAATGGTAGTCTCAGGGGTGCGAAGGAGGATTGGAAATGGACAGACAACTTTAATATGGGGGCACCCGTGGTAACGGGATAATCCTAGCCCATTGATTCAAACATAAATGCCACATCAATTGAGAGAGGCACGAGTTGCAGGACTAATTGATTTACAAACGCATACCTGGGATCCGCATATTTTGTCAGATTTATTTAATCCTGAGGATGTAGAGCGAATAAATATGATCCCTGTTAGTCCTGAGTATGAGGACTCATGGTATTGGATGAGTGACCCAAAGGGGATATATACAGTCAAAAATGCTTATAGGCATATAGTGGGTGATTATGAGAATAATCCAGCGAATTTTGATAAGTGGGTTGCAATGTGGAAAATAAAAGTCCCCCCTAAATGGAAAACTTTCTTGTGGAGAGCCATATGTGACGTTTTGCCAACAACCCTTAACTTGATATTTAAAAGGGTGGAGGTGGACCCAACTTGCCCTATGTGTGGTTTGGATCATGAAGATGTGTTGCATGCTTTAGTGCTCTGTGAATATTCTAGACTAGTTTGGAATATAACACAATTGCCTATTATTAATATTGTTGCAGACTCGTTTACATCATGGCTAAAAGGGGCTATGGCGGCCCTGACGGATGAACAGACCCGGTTAATGACAGCAGTATTATATTATATTTGGAGAACCCGGAATTCAGCTGTCTGGAAGGGATCAATGATGCGGCCTACCCAATTGGTCAGAGCAGCCACCGTAGCACTGCAGGCGTACGGCGTTGCCCATGTCCGCCGAACCGAGCCGGCACTGGCGACGGACCACTTGAACGATCTAGGGGAGGGTGGCCTACGATGTTATGTGGACGCAGGTTTCCGGCACGACACGGGCGAGGCTACTTACGGCATGATTATTATAGCACCAGATGGCTCGTTTGTGGCAGCAAGGAATGGCAAGTTACCAATTTGTTTTTCACCACTTATGGCGGAGGCCCAGACATACAAGGAGGCTTTGTCTTGGCTACTTGACCGGGACAACATATCAGTAAGTTTACTCACGGATTGCATGGAATTGGCTGCGATAATCAGGCACCATCACATGCTGATCCATTCGTACGTTGGGGTCACAATTGACCAGTGCAGAACGTTTATGTCGTTGTTTAATCGTATCACTTTGGATTACATCTCTAGGCAGGTTAATTTACATGCGCATACTTTAGCTACGTTAGCATTTACTCAGGATCAAGCTATGTACTGGAATGCTATCCCACCTGACGCTATTTCGGCTTTGATTCATTAATACAATCGCAAGATTGACCTTCAAAAAAAAAATCATAGACCAATTGTGGCATACAATTATGTGTCCGGCATCAAATCTCATTACTCGCTAATCAAATTTATTTTGCCTAAAATTAATAAAATTATATAGTTATAAATTTTTTGAAAGGAATAAAGTTATAAATTGATTCATAATATAAGTGAATTACTGGTCATCTTAATTTCAGACGGTTTACGTATAATTTAGTAATCGTTTTACCGTGCATCAGAGCACACATAGTAATGTGCACTCGCGTTTTCCAAAACGACGTCGTTTTGGTAAGTTCTGTATTTTCAGGTATAAAATTATGTGCATTCTATTATATAATTATGTATATTCAAAACATGGGAACATTTATAAAATTTTGTATTTTCAGGTATAAAATTTCGTATTTTTAGGTATAAAATTATGTGCATTCTATTATATAATTCTGTACATTCAAAACATGAGAATTTTCAGTTATAAAATTATGTGTTTTCATGTATAAAATTTTGTGTTTTCAGGTATAAAATTTTGTGTATTTTATTATACAATTATGTATATTCGAACATGAATTTTTTTTAAGGAGTTAACAACAAACACGCAAAAATGTCCAAACGACGTCGTTTTGGACCCGGACGCACGGTATAATTTGCCGATTAAGGCTAATTATTATTTTTAAGTTACTTGCATGCTAGAATTAGTAAAAAAAAGAAAAAAAGGAAAAAAATCTTTATTGTGAGTGAAATAATGGTTCATGGTTGACTCGCCGGTAAAGATCTGGAGTAAAGGAACCGTTCAAAATGGAACCTCGTACGAGTATGGCGTGTTGTGTAATCTGTGATGGATGAATATCGCCAAAACTTTCTTGTCGTCCTCGCAACTCAAAAGCCGGCCTAAACCTCAGTGTCTTGTTCTAAACCCACGCTTCTCAGCCGTAAATTCTCCCACTGTCATCCACCAATTTGCCACTGCCCACCGACAGTTTCTTGATTTCCCGACGGTGGGTCGATCTGGATTCGATTCACCGACGGCGCCTTCGATTCATCGTAAATCGTGTCAGCGATAAAGGTCGAGTCTTTAGATTCCCCAAATGGTCAGTTTCCCAATCTCGATCGCGCCGGTTGACGAACACGCATCCATCGACACAGCCATGCCCAAATCCGCGAATTCACCCGACCCGTGTGGGAAATTCCGGCAAATCAACCGAGCCCAGAGAAAAACTCCGGCGAAGAGCCAGCTGAAAAACATCCCGGCGTGTGAAAAATCCCGGTCCGCCATTCTCGACGTCATGATCTTGATTGCAGTCATCGGCGCCTGCGGGGTTCTCCTCTACCCATACTTAGCGCTTCTCGCCCAGAAATTCATCGAATTTCTCCAATCAATCGGCGGTGCGGTGAGGGAAGAGCTTCTCCGAGCTCCGATGGTTTACATCTGCTTAGGACTCAGCATTTTCTTCGCCGGAATAGCTCTCCTAGCCATCACAATCTGCACCAACAAGAAATGTGGAAAACCAGGGTGCAAGGGGCTCCGAAAAGCCGCTGAATTTGATATAGAGTTACAGACAGAAGACTGTGTAAAGAGCCTGAAATGCGCCGGAAAAAATGGAGTAAAGAAGGGATTATTCGAGCTTCCTCGCGACCACCATTTGGAGCTGGAAGCAGAGCTGAAGAAGATGGCGCCGCCGAATGGGAGAGCTGTTCTGCTGTTCCGTGCCAGGTGCGGATGTTCTGTCGGAACAATGGAGGTTCCTGGACCTAGGAAGCCTCGAAAGGTTAAGAAATAGTCACAGTATTGTTTCTTAAATTTGAATATAGTAATAATAAGTATATCTATATATACATTATATACAATATATATGCAGCATATTTGGTAGAGACATAATATGACAGATTGCCCCAACCCCGGGGCCCAACACCTCGGGCTGAGGCCGAGGATAAATCACGGTGACTCAATGATTCAGTGATTCAGTAGAATCTTCTCTGAACAATATAGGCCCTTGGAATAAGCTTATGAACATGAAATGTATGATTAGTTTGCTATAGTGGAAAAATTCAAGATTCCCTTACTCTTACTAGCTTTATTTATATATAAAAAATATATATTTCATTTCTCTTTCCCTGTGGATTTTATTATTATGTTCTGTTGTTGCCATTGGTGAGAATACTCTTTGAAGATTGGTCTGTTTTAGGTTTTGAGGATTGAATGTTGTGTGTCTGACTGTCTAGATGATATGATCTTTAACAATTGACTGGAAACTTGTCTGAGATAGGATTAGGATGTTTCGTTTCGTTTTAGACAATCTTTACGTTTAAATCTCTGCAACAACTTTGTTTGATTGTATCCCTGTACACCCGGTTTCCTGGACATGACAACCTTTGCATTTGAATCTCTGCAACAACTTTGTTTGATAGTATCCTTGTACTCCCAGTTTCCTGGACATCTTCTTTTGTGCAATAATGGTCTGTGACAATTCTTGTGTCTGTCTGACGGATTGCTTTTCTGTTATGTTATGCTACATGACTCGATCTTTTTTCGCTACGATATAAGAAAGCGTTGGGATTGAACTTGTAACATATTATCTATGTAACTCAGTCACGGGTTACCTTATACTTGTATGTCATATTTTTGGTTACTAAGATGGCTGTTGTTATAGCATATCAATGCCTATATTATGTCACTCTTACTAAATGTTGAGGCTAGTCTCGATGGATTCATTTGACATGTCCTCGTCAATCTAAAAAATGTTCGAGATTCTGTATGTAACGTCTGTGATTATATTGTTTATCTCTATGGCATCAATGATTATACTATTTGTTCTATTTGTATTGTGGAGATCTCTTGAAGTATGGAAGAAGATGTTTCATTCAAATAGCTCAATGATATTAGTTGCATTAGTGTGTATTGATGTTCTATATTGTTATTTACTAGTAATAAGTTGGCCAAGTTTCCTATACAAGAATTATTCATATATAAATACCCACAAATAAGATAAATATATACAAAGACCTTGATTGATTCCTACATACACAATGTGAAATTATGAGTAAATCAATTTTGATGAGATAGGACTAAAGTGTCCACTAGATGTTCAATTGATAAATGATCATAATAGAAATATAGAATCCGGCTTGATTACGAGGAGATTAATCCATTCATAAAATTAGTAATTATGTCATAGGCTGATTTATTTTATTGTGATCTTTCGTCGGCTAAGGCCACAAGAAGAGCTTAACCCATATTATGTAATAGTTGCAGACTCTCTCGTAAATCGAAGTAATTGTATTATAAAGAGTCATTTGACTACTCAATAGTGCATTCATCATACAATCCATTTGTAAGGAGCAATTGACAAATTAAGAGTTACTTAGGCACATAACGAGAATGATATAGGTGTTGGTTTTGTGACTAACAAGTTGTCAATCAGCTCGGTTGAAAACTTATTCGAACTGCTTACACAATACCATCGGAGGAGTATTTATACATCCAAAAGACCTATTAAATGACCCCATTAAGGTCATAACCGCCATAACTACTATAACCACTACTAATCTAATCTTCATTATCGAAATAAATTTTTTGCCTTTAATTTTGTATTTGCCATTTGCCTCACGCAACTGTCCGATTGTTAGACTTTAACTGAATCAACTACTTGATTCTGATTACCTTCCTAAATGACTACGCCTAGTCCCTAATCCATCTATAGACTTTCGCATTCTAAATATATATATGATAAATGAATTGCTAATATAATAGACAAATTCAAATTATTATCAGAACAGTATGATATAAATACACAAATCAACTGAATAACCATATTTTATTTAAAAAAAATGTTATTATTAAAATACGTTTTGAGTGAAACTCATATTGTAACTTTTGTTGCAAAAGTCAAATGGACGACCATTGTGTATATGTATGAGACCTATAAACTCGCCGGTCCAGCTCCAGTAGCCGACACATTGAATCCGGTTCGCGATTGCAGTCACCCACTCGAAAACTACAAAACCAAACGCAAGATTGCAAGAAGTGCTAAATACTTGCAGCTTAGATTGCGTATCTGACACTGAGGCGTACGCTTTGGGGTTTGGGACTGGGTTTCCCAGGGCTTATTCGATTTAGGGTTTCGTCTAAGAACAAATTCAATTTCCGTTAGCTTTGCAGAAGGGGGCTGCCCCATGGATTCCCCTGGCTCACTTCACTTCGATATCTTTGATATCTACAGGCGATATTCTGGTAATCTTCTGAATCAAGATTTCAACTCTTTGCTTTTAATTCCCAAGCCTTGATGTTGGAATGTTTAGTTTGGGAGTGATTGAATCTTGATTGTCAAAATTCAGTTGTTAATTAGCCTCAGAAATATTGAGTTGGTGATGTAAACATGTTTTCTCGTTCAGAACTCAGAAGACTGCCTTTTATGATGACCCTTTTGTAAGATTTTGATGTTTAAGTTTGTGCTCTGATTTCTGTGCTGTCCAATTTAGTCCATAGTGGAGAAATTGGTGGAACAGCTTTCTTCTAGAATATTATGTAGAATCTTGATCTGTTTAAACATTAAAAGAATCATGGTTTTATTTGGTAATCTTTAACTCATAACAAGTTTTCTAACTGGCACATTTCATCTTCATTTTCCTGCTCAATAACTCAGTAAGTAGCAAATCTTAAGTTTCTGCAACTATTATGTGGAATCTATTACTAATCAATGAACTATGTTGCCATCTGATGCAGACATTGTGCGGGCCAACGGGAATCCAGATGATGAACCTCAGAAAGCCAGATACTTAAGAGAGGAACTCCCCCAGCTCCTGAAATATGTGGAGCCAAGATTGCAGTTAAGGCATATATTTCGTGTTAGGGAATATGGATTCCTTACATCTGCATTGGATTTTCTTTACTGGGAAGTTGTTGGTTAGGGATTTAAAAGAGAATTTAAAGGGTTGAAAAGAGAAATATTTCTAAAATCTAATTAAAAGGCTAGAGATTTAGAGATTGAATCGTGACTGAAGTATTTACTGCTAGACTGTCCCCACCCTCACCTATACATCATACTTTAGGAGTCTAATGTATTTGCAATTCGACGGTGAAAGGTTAAATATCTTTCACACAATAAATCTTTCTTAGTAATGAATGTGATGTTTTCCGTTGTTGCTCCTTGTTTAAATTTATTTATCTGTATCATGTACTAAGATCTTTTAGGGTAATATATGACTTAATATTTCTAGTGGGAGATTTACAATATTGAAATTATATGTTTTCATCTATGGCAGAATATCATTGATGGAAGGGCTTTGCAGGCTTATGTCACAATTAGACTTGAAGGCAAGTTTTCTCCTTGTAGTATATTAGTGGAATAAAACATAAAGACCTGATGTTGTAGTATATTATGCAGGCTGACTTCTCAGAATTTTCACATTTCTATGATTTTGTATTCTTCATCTGCCGAGAAAATGGTCAAAAGAACATTAGTAAGTTGGTTTGGTGGCGTCATGCTGTAAAGTCCCTTTTATAAGTTGTACTCGTTTCATTAGCTACAATCTTATCCTTTTTCTATTTTTTCATTATGCTCTTAGCTGTGAGAAGGGCTGTTATGGCCTGGAGGTTAGTTTTAGCTGGAAGGTTTCGATTACTTGACCAATGGTGTGACTTTGTTGAGGTAATATCTTTGCTATTTCAAATGAACTTTGGGTGGAACACCATTCTATGCCCCCAATACATTCGTCATCATTGGGCTTCATTAACAGAAAAATCAGCGATATAACATATCTGAGGATACATGGCGCCAAGTTTTAGCTTTCAGTCGTTGTGTACATGAAAATCTTGAAGGATATGATCCTGAAGGTATTGTATTTATTATTTTTGCTTTTAAATTATCACAGTCATTTAGGTAACACATTAATGACTCATTGCAGAAATTCAGGTGCCCTTTAATTTTTTCTATCACTGACTTGTTTCCACAATATGGTTGGTAATAGACTTTATCGGGAAGTAATTTTCCAACTAGCTGAATGAATCGTTCTATGTTAATTGGGAAAATATTTTGAAGATGTTTGAGCAATTTTATTTTGATAAAAGGAAATTCCAATGCTGATGATTACCTTCTTGGCGGCTTCTCCCCTTATCGCTTTTGGAACTTTTTACTCATTTATGTTGTAACTTGTTTTTCCTTTTTCTTTGATGTCTTTATTTTGACAGGAGCATGGCCAGTCTTGATTGATGACTTTGTTGAGCACATGTATAGGTTTGTGATGAACCCACCTGAACTATCCATTTTTACTTAATGTGCCATATGAATTATAAGTTGATATGTTCTCATTCTTTTAAAATCAGTTGGTAGAAACTATGAATCTAACCATAGTATTCATGCAAAGTTAAATGAGCATGAGAGTGAAGAAAAGAAAAGAGAAATGAATTAACCATAGTATCCAAGGTCTTATAGCAAAAGAGGAAAAAAGAGAGATTACCTTCCCAATCTAAGTTGTAGTGATGATGGAGAAGAGTTAAGAGATGGCTGCCTTCTCCTTTGATTGAGAGACATGAGAGCGAAGAAAGATTGAGAGAGAGAAGATCCATTATCCATGGAGTGAGAGAGAGAGAGAGAGAGAGAGAGAGAGAGAGAGAGAGAGAGATATGTGAATGTAATGTCGGGTGAGTGGAAGGGAGAGGAGAGTCGACTAATAACATGTAGTAGGGTTGGGGTAGGATGAAATGGATGGCCATGGTTTTTTTTTTTTTTTTTTTTTTTTTTTTTTGGTTGAGAATTGGATTTGAGTTCCATTTGGAAAAAAAAAAAAAAGGAAAAATGTGGAATGAGTAGAAAATGGGCAAAATTTTTCCATACTAAACATAAGATTTTAATATTTCTATACAAACAAATTTGCAGAATTGGCAGGAATAAGTTATCATGGTTCATGGAGTATGTAGTTGGCCTAACAAAATTGTTCTACATTTGTTATAACTTGATTTTCTTTTTTGGTGCCCACATTTTTTGCAATGTGCGTAAAGTTTGACATGGAATATTGGGAATGCAGGATTGGTAGATCGAATAGCTCTCCACATATAGTCTGCAATTGTGGTGATTCAGAAGTCCACCAATCAGAGGAACAACCATTGCGTGGTAAGTCACTGTTTATCAAAGTTCATTGTACTATAGGATCTCCTTGATGCATCTTGCCATCTTATATTCTTATTATGTGTGGTTAATGTTCAGGATTGAATATCTTTTGTGGTTTTAAGAGGAAGTGGTGTGATGACCCCGATGCAAGTGTACATTGCAAGAAGCGCTTGAGTTCATCAAACAAATATGTCACCTCGGAAGAGAATCCTTTAGTAAGTGTACATGACTGCATGGATATAGGTAAATTCAATAACCCCATAGGGCACCCGAAATCTCCATGTGCTGTTGAGGGGTGCCTCTCCAAGGGGTTTGCAGGGCTCTTATCAAATGGTCCGTGTCTGCAGTTTGATCAGAAGAGGAGAGTTTCCTATACATAAAGATCCCGGGAGAGTTTTCCGCCTCATATTTGGCCTAGGTTCATGCGGCAACTTCACCCCATTTTTCTCGCGGCAACTTCACCCCATTTTTCTCTGAACTCCTTCGTTTTTGGTTTTGGTTTTGGGTGTGATCTAGGTAGAAGGGCTGATGAAGTGATGATGATTTGTTTTGGTTCTTGATACATTACCAATTTCTGTTGTATGTATGACCGAACGACAAAAAGAGTAAATAAATGGTGATCTCTTCATTTGTGTTGAGAAAATGGCTTTTCTGAAATTTTTGAGAGATCACTATCCCAATACAAGCTGAGATTTAGTGTGTTTCTGCTAAGTTAAAATCTTTTTCTTCCTTGTACTATTTACCATCTGAGTTTTCAAAATTTCAGACACTACATGCAGTATTCACAAATCACAATACCAGCTTCTTATTTCCTGAATGCAAAAAAGGCTTAGCCTTACCACTGATACTTAGCAGCCACAAGAACTTCTTCATAATTCTGAGCAGCATGATCCCAGCTTAAGTCTTGCATCATCCCGCGCTTTTGCAGGCCCTCCCAGCTCTTCTTGTACTGACGATATGTCAGCAAGCAATTCCCCAATGCATGGATCAGCTGCTCTGCCTCAGCCCTATCGAATGTCCACCCGAGCCCTGTCTCATTATAAGGATCGAAGGGTACGACTGTATCTCGTAGCCCACCCACAGCATGGACGACGGGGACAGTGCCATAGGACATAGCATACAGTTGGTTTAGTCCACAAGGCTCAAATCTTGATGGCATAAGCAGAATGTCTGCACCAGCAGTTATCCGGTGTGAAGTCTTTACAGAGAACCCCACCCATCCTCTGACTTTGTCGTTGTGCTGATACTCAAACTGCCTGAGCAATTGTTCTAGGTCGGGCCTGCCTGTGCCCAACATAACCACCTGCACGTCCTCGCCCATCATCCAAGGGATTGCCTCAGCTATCAGATCAACGCCTTTCTGGTAATCAAGCCTCCCAATGAAACCAATCAGCGGGACATCTGGGCGCACAGGCAAACCGAGTTCCTTTTGCAGTGCTGCTTTGCATTTAGGTTTACCAGTCTGCAATGTCTCCAGGGAATAGTTAACATAACCATCCGACTTCAAGTGAACATCCAGCAGTGGGTTCCACTCATTCGTATCAATCCCATTGACAATGCCACGCAGTTTCCATTCGTTTTCATTTATTATCCTGTGCAAACCCCACCCACCTTCCGAGGTTTTAAGCTCCCAGGAATATCCATGACTCACGGTAAGCACACGATCAGCCATCTTGAGACCTGCTGCAAATATGTTGAAATGGTGACCTCCTACTGGATCATAAAAACTGAAAAGGTCTGCATATTCAGGTGGCAGATCCACATAGGAAAAATCATCCATAGGCCCACGACCCTGAATCCAGAGACAAATTCAATAAAAAAGAGATACACAAAACACCGTTTCACAATTTTTCTCAAAACTTCAGATGAAATTAACCTGGTGAGCTATGTTATGAATAACAAGCACAGATCTTGCATATTCCATCAGGCCATGGTCGCGATAATATGCTGTGAGATACACTGGCAGCAATGCAGTGTGCCAATCATTGGCAATGAATACTAAATTTCCATCTCCATAGCAAACACCGCCACAAGGAACATGCCAAGGAACCTGCTCACCAGTAAACAATTTCAAGATTCCACTCGAAGTCGGAAAACAGTGCCAAAATCTAGCATGGAATACCAATAGAAATACTATCTACAAGTAGAATATGATATGCCTATTGACAGGAAGAATTTGCCACAATAATGTTCCTAAAACCAGATTCAATCATACCTCAACAGCTGCTTTGCAAAATAAAACCATGCGCTTTAAAATGTCCTGCGACAAAAAGCAGCAAGAAGTATAAAAAGAAGACTTAAGTACCAATGAAGAGCATTGAAGAGCAAAAAGACGGTGAAAAAGAGCAAGGTAATATCTAGATGTCCATAACATCTGGCTCAATGATATCTAATTACAAAAATCAATTGAGAAAACAAATGAAATGATCAGGAGAGGCCATATAAGAAGCAATAAGTAATGAAACTAGCATTCAGTGTAAGTTCCAATTTTACATTCTTTGAGATTGACAAGAAATTAGGGAAGTAGTGAGCAAGTTTCTTACATCAGCAATGACCTATAAAGGTTCTCATTAAGATCACATTTAACATCACCGCTAACCAATAATCTATGAATAATCCTTTGGAGGTCTAATAAAGTATTAAAGTAAAACCACAAAAGCCAGAAAGTCAATAAATAGAGATGCATGGGAGGAGGAAGCATACCGCACGATTTCCTCCATATATGTTGTTTTCAAAATGGTGAAACATAGGACTATCAATGAAGACAAAATCCACACCATCAATATAGGCTTGGAAGTAACCCACTTCCACATCCTGAAAAAGATCAATACCTATTACACATTTGTGAGGGTAAATGATTATGAATCTTGGATGCTAATGAGTAATGGCTTACCGAACCATCAACTGCATAATTTTTTCGAACTCCAGTATCTTGAGGTTCAGCATAATTACCATAACGAGGTACCACAACCTAAATGTTTCACAGGAGAAATGAATAAGCTACTTCAATATCACTAATGCATAACCTTTTTTGCTCTTTTACATTGAATATATTACAAAAAATTTGGAGAATAATGCAATTATCCAGTCGATCAAACTTACAGTTCCTTAAATATAAAAAATCTTAGTGCTGAGCCATACTACATGTCAATTTAATGGAAAGTCCAGAGTATATCAAAATCATATTGAAGAATTCAAGAAAATTTACCATAACTCTGTGTCCACGCCGAGCCAAAGCCTTAGGCAGTGCTCCAGCAACATCTCCAAGCCCACCTAACATAACTCATCATCAGTTGGTGAGTTCCTTGTGCAGTTATGTTGCATAAATGAATGTGTATGTATAAATATATATTTGCTATGGAGTATAGAATGTAGACATGAAGCAAAAGATATGCTCTCTGTTTTGATCGTAACACCAAAAATTGGGAAGGGCAGACTAGGTTGTTGGGTGGTTGCACAGTGATTCTAATAACATATAAATAACAAGTAAAGATCCACTTCTGCACAAATTTATGACAGTCCAACTAATTCAAGGACTTGATAGTCCTTTGGAGAAGTATTACTTAATGCAAATGAGAATATAATCTCTAGAGTTCAGTTTAACAATCAACAGCGGTACATAGCATCAAAGAATACCTGTTTTACACCATGGAGCACATTCTGCGGCAACTAATACTATGTTCATAACATCTGTCCCTGCCAATGGAGGGGGTTTCAAGTCTTCATTCACAGAATCTTCAGTGCCATTATGTATCTCGTTTGCACTTGATTCTCTAAGATCTTCATGTTTCTCTTCCACAGGAGTAGATGACGCAGAAGATTTTGAGACGAAGGAGGGCACGTTGGATAAAATTTTCCCTGTATAAGAGTCTTTCAAATCTTTTTTGGAATGCATGCTGAGGGTTTCCACTCCAGCAGATTTAGCAACTTCCGAAGTAGTGTTTTCTGGTTTATAAGATTTCTGCGCCAAAGAAGCCTGTTGAGTTGGAACCACGGATGATCTTGATAGAACAGTAGGCTTTTCATTAGGCAGAACTGTATTCAGTGTGCCATTTTTAAGTTTTTTGTCTGAATCTACATCTAAGGATCCCTCCCTAAGAGGCTGGTCTTTTATACCTACTTGAGCACTTTCAACAAAATCTTTCATATCAGCAGTTGATTGAATACCCATTGTAGATAACACTCCATTGGAATTTTGTTTAGCATCATCACTTGTTGGAGCCAAATCTACATCTGGAGAACTGCCGTTCCCATCTTCATAACTGTCTTCTGGCTCTGGGTCTACAATGCTACTTCTTATTTTAGACACTAATTCCTTTCTTTCAGCAATCTGCACGTATGACCATAATTTCAAGACTTAAGAACAACAACAATGCCTTTTGATGATATAAAAAGAAAAAATCAATTATGAATGTCAAGAATCAAACTTTTCTGTGGAACCTCCATATATGAAATAAAACTAATTATATATCAAATTGAACTGTAGATGATAACAAGCACAGCATGGAAAAGAAAAGGAACAACTGTTAGAGCAAAATAAAATTCTTACAAACAAAAAGGCATGACTCACATTTCATGAAAGTGTTCGAGAAAAAAAGGCCCTTTTTGGTTTTCATTGCAAAGAATCTCAAAGAAAATGCCAGGTGAGAGTACTAGTTTATGGCCACTGTTTCCTAAAGTAAGAATAACGATAGAATAAAGCAAACCTGTCGGAGTAGGTCATTTTGCATGGCCAGTACCTTCTGGCTCTTTTTAATCGTAGCCTGCAGAGCATCCTCTTCTTCTTCTTCTTCTTCTTCATTCCCGGCATCTCCCCCGGCGGAGCTTTTACCCGTAGCTTTCACACGTTCGATCCTGCAAATATGGTGTCTACTACGGCCATGGCGCAGAGACAGCCTCCCGATATCATCACTCAAAATCCTACGAAACCCAATCAGAGAATCAGCCGAACCTCCAGACTGGACAGATTTTCTAGGCCGACATGCGAGGAGGGGAACCGTGGGCCGACAAATTGAGCTCTCCATCACCTCTAAGTCCAATCAAAAACAGGAAAAAAGATCCTAAAACAGAAGGAGCACAAGGTGTTCGACGTTATTCCTAAAAAGGAGCAACGAGATTAATAAAATCACGTGGAAGAAAATCGGTGGCTGAAGAAACGCGATCGAGGTGAAACGATATTGTGCCAACAGACGTCGCTGTCGGAATTGTTCGGAGAGTGTAATGGGACCCGGTGACAGAAGGAATCATGTACGACGGGCCATGGCGGTTTTGTAGTTCACGGTGGCTCTAATGCCGCTAGCTCACATTAACAGACAAGGAATCGGAGATCCTTTTCCGGTACGCGCATCACGGTCCACAAACTCTATATTTAAAAATATATATATATATATTTTTTCAATTGGCTAACATTTATTAATTAATTGCTCACATGGAGCTTTGTATAATTTTGAGAAAACAAGGCTTATTATTTAGTGTTTTTTTTTTCTTTCTTTTTTTTTTTAAGTATGGATCCGATAAAAAATCAAATTGATTTTTTTTTTTTTTGAGAAAAAATCAAATTGATTAAATTCTTCAAAATTTGTATTTTTATATGTAAAATCTTTTTTTTTTTTACCTACAAAAAATATTAGCCATTCTTTATTATTTATGACATATATACACATAAGTTGATTCAATTTTGATCAAATTCTTTGATTTACTAGAAAATTTACGATTATGTTACTACTTGAAGATGCATTATTTTGGAAAAAATTTGCCTTGTGATTCTACTTCGCAAATGACTACAATGTGGTAAACTAATTTAAGTTGTCCATAATTGACCGGGCTAAAATCAATAAAGTTAATAGACAACATACTAAACTTGTGGTTACCCAACTAATCGTGTCCTAACTTGGAAGGACCATAAAAAAGATAAATCAGACTAAGTTGGTCATAATTGATCAACGCAAACCTAAAAAATCAATAGACATTGAGTCGATCTCTATGTCAAAAGATAAACTGCCGCCCTTTTCTAACATTGAGTTTAATATAATTTATTTTTTACTCCAAAAAATGAAGGTCAATAAATATCTATTATGAAAAGTTGATCAAATTTAAAATCTTGTGATTAATAAATCGATTGTCATACCAACTTAGTTAAGAATAATTGTCCCATTTTAATTAAATTCTTGAATCAATTCTCAAGCGTCTACACTTTGCTTGCCCCAAGCACGTGTTATTAGTGAGTTTTTTTATTGAGAGTGACTCAAAATTATATTAATGATCAAGTGGTTGGTAGGCAATAGGAAATGTTCCCACGTGAATTCAATGAATACATGGTGGAGGCGTAAATAGGAAATGATGAAATAATTGAGAGTGTGTTTAGTACGCACTTGAAAATTGAAATTAGAAATAAAATTAACGTAACTATAGTTATAGATAACAGTCTATTTTTAGTCTTTTTCTTTTCCTTTCAAAACATCCACTGTTGATTCTAGTTAGTTACCTAGTATTATCGTGGTATATTTTTTATTCTCCATCAACAAAACAGTTTAAATTTCGTCAAATACAAGAGTATTTCATTCTTCAATTTTGATTTTTTTTCAAAAAATAAACATAAAAATATAGTGGATCAACCTACTTTGTATTAAAAAAAAATTCAAAATGTCCTTGTATTTAACGACATTTCAATGATTTTCTTGACGGACGACCAAAAATAGTCATGCCACAATAATACTGGACCAAATGTGGATGTTATAAAAAATGACTAAGGGTCCGTTTGGAAAACTGGAAAATGAGTTATTTTCCTGAAAACATTTTCCTTTACGGTGTTTGGTTACCCATCGTAAAACTGTCTTTGTGTGTTTGGTTCATTTTCCAGAAAATGAGCAGAAAAATGAAAAGAATTGAATACTTCAAAATTTTAATTGTTTGATATTTTTGATAAAATCCTTCTGTGCATAGCACTCATAAGCTTGTGTGTATACTGTATAGTATCTATAGTACATAACTACATTATATATATATATATATATAGGGAGGGGATCAGGTGCATTTGATGCTTCCCGTGCGGTTGTGCGGGTGGACGCATGTTAAGCATTAATCTGACGCACTTAAAGTACACAACACACGCACATTAAGCACACAAATCTCACACATGTTAAGCACAGGCCTCACACATGTTAAGTACAAGTCTCACGCATGTTAATCACAAAAACACACGCACCTTAAGTTTTAAAAAACAACTCACATTAATTACACACTCACGCACATTAAGTACAAAACTCACGCACCTTAAGCACACGACTCACGCACATTAAGCACAAAACTCACGCATATTAAGCATAAAACTTATGCACTTTAAAGTTTCAACAACAACTCACATTAAGTACACACTCACGCACCTTAGGCACAATACTCACACACCTTAAGTACAAAACTCAAGCACATTAACATTACACACTCACGCACATTAAGTACAAATCTCAGATACATTAAGCCAAGACTCACGCACATTAAGCACAAGCTCACGCACATTAAATACAAAACTCACGCACATTAATCAACCGCACAACCGCACGGGAAGCACTCAACCGCACTGAAACATCATTTTTCATTGACCTCATCTTTTCCCCTCTTGCCAAACACTAAAAACTCGAAATTCTACGAGTTTCCAAACACACACTAAAAGTAGACTGCCACTTATAAATTTAGGACCAAAAATAAAATTTACTCTAAATAACTCCAATACCTCATTAAATTAAATTAGATACATAAAATGAGACAAACAGCTTAACTGACTCTCTTGAATAGGAGATTAAGTTCGAACCTCAATAAGCATTCTAACAGAGTCAGTAATACATAAGTTCACAAATTAGTGAAATTACATACAATCTCCATTAGAGCAGTATAAGTGCCCACGATCATGAAGCCAAACCCCATGACCACAATCCCACATATGACGACCACCTCAAACCACGCCGTACGATGAATCCCAGAAATCTTCAAGAAGCACAAGCATGGCAGAATGACTGAAGCGGCGGTGCTCAAAAACGCTCCGACGAGCGACATCAAGTACCCGAAAAACGGAACCGCCATTGCTACAATCACAGTGCTGATAACCAGGCCGGTTCTGATTACCAGTCCGCCGATCAATCCCTTTTTGCCGCAATCGGACAATGCGAAGGAGTTTTCGATGGCTTTCACGATTGGGGTCACCATTAGAGCGTATTTGGCGATCGGATTCACCAACGTTACGTAGATCGCCACCTGCGAGCTGATCTTGTCTGTCGGAAGGTTTAGAGTGATCTGAGAAAGTGCGTCCGAACCAAACATGAGATATCCCAGAATCGCCATTGATGCATAGTTGAAGGTACTCACTGCAAAACAAACCAGCAGGACCTGGCCCGGATCATAGAATATCAGAGTTTACCCAATGTACACTGTAGAGTAGTGACTACGAATTTTTCTTGTTGCCCAGAAAAAATAAAATTTTCCCCCTTAAAATCACTTTATAAAGTTTATGAGAGAGAGAAAAATCGGTAGAGTTTATGTATGAAGAAAATATAGGATAATGAAGAAAAAAATAATTTTATTAAATTTAGATAGATTTATAAAGTTTAAATAGGGGGGAAATATAGTTTAAATAGAGAGAGAAAACATTCAAAGTTGTTAGAAAGAAAATTTTGAAATCTTGGGGTTGATGGCTGGATTTCAAGTATTTATATTTGAAAAGAAAAAGTCTACAAAAGTCCTAAAATTAAAAAGTCCACAAAAGTTCATAACTTTTTGAATACCACATGGCTTTTAAAGACTCTTTAAAAGTCTTAATTGAATACCACACGACTTTTAAAGACTCTTTAAAAATCTTGATGGAATACCGCATGACTTTTAAAAACTCTCTAAAAATTTGAATTGAATACCTCCAAACTTTTAAAGTTCATAAAAGTCTTTAAAACTCTATAAAAATCATGATTGAATATACCTTTTTTAGATAAATTTCAAAATAGGTGTTCGGATGTGTTAAGCTTGGTTATCGTATAAAAATGTTATGAGTTCGATTCTTACTCTTTTGATTAAGCGCGCCGTCATATAGATAAAGTCTTCTTATTCCTAATTGCCTATCACACGTAAATTGATTGATTCAATCATGAATTCATGAGTTAGCATATAGAGTCGTGTAATAATCAAATTTAACAAAAAAAAAAAAAAGAATTTAACATATTAATGAAATGATACATCCTATGAATTTAATAGGGTGGGTGTAGCGTACTTTAGGTGTCAAATTAAAATTGGTCCAAAGTTTAAACAACACGTATGATCCATATTAATTACGAGTATATGATATTGAGAGTGACACCAAAAAATTATAGTTAGGTCAAAAATATGAAATATAATTTATTAAGTATGGGTTTGGTTAGTACCCGATATAAATTCACTTTACTCCTCAATTATGATTAGTGATTTTATTAAATGATATATTGGTAGAGATTTTATTAAATGATATAATCTGATTTATACCAATTATTATTAAATTTCTCTTTTATCAAAAAATTAAAAAATATTTTACTTCATCAAATTCCTTATTATCCTTTTCCAACGAAAAATGTCGTTTTCCTTAAAAATATAATATTTACCTTAGAGAAGTGTGTTGGATTCTTCATGGAAGTGTAAAGCGTGGGGAAAACAGGATGAGCGCAGTAGCAGAAAGCGTAGAGGCTGACGGCGGTGGGGGTTCCTCCCCAGTTCACAAGCCGGCGATTCGCCGGCGGCGAGGCAACGGCGGCGCCGGAGTCATTATCAGATACAGCAGTCCACAACACCGCCGCAAGAAGCAGAAAAGAAGCCACGACTCCGGTGGCTGAAACGTACGACAAAACCCTCAAATCGTTAAACCAGACGGTGGGCAGTACGAGGAGGCTAACAACGATGACCCAACACTGCTTCCCGCCAATGGCGGCGCCGAAAACCTCGGCCCGGAAATCCGGGAACAGGTTGTTCAGATTGTCCCCTTCCATGATCAAGAAACCGGCGGCCACCATGTAAAGCTCCACGTTCATCGATAAAGATACCACCGCCCGTCCGACAGCCCCGAACGCGCGCTCGCCGATGTCGGGGTAGTTCCTCACGGCGGCGTCCATGTCCATGCAGCGCTGGATCAGCACGGCGGTGTAGCAGGTCGCGGCGGCGATAATGAAGAGGTATATCAAGCTCAACCACCCTCCTGACGCCACCGCAAACGGCACCGAAAGTATCCCGATTCCTGCCGGCATATATATATATATATATATCGTGAAAATTTACAGTATAAAATTCAGAATCACCATTACATGCAGATACAAGCTAAGTAGATTATACTATATATATATATATATATATATATATATATATATATATATATATATATACATACCAGATAAAGCATTGAGTCCATTAAAACACGTATTCAGAAAAGAGGCTGAACCAAAAGAGCGGCGGTGATCGCCGGCTTCTTTCTGCAGATCATGCTCCTTCAGGAGGTGTACTGTAATGGAGTGCCCATCATCCATTTTCGTTTTGTTTAAGCTTGCTTTTCCAACACTGTATCGATCTATATATATATATATATATATATATATATATATATATATATATATAGCTGTGAAGAGGGCAAAGGTGAATAAATGCAGATGGGGATTTTTTGTTTTCTATCATGTTTAAATAATGCTAGTAGCTATTAGTGATGTCAACTGGGCGGGGGCGGGCTGGGAACTTACCCCATCCCCGCCCCGACTTTCTTCCCATTTCTCGTCCCCGTCCTCATTCCAGTAGGAAAAGAGTAAATTTTTTCCATACCTATCCCCACTGGGTTTATTCGTGAACGGGAAATCCCCACCCATTAATAAGTTATAAAAAAAATTAAATATTAAATATTAAAAAACATTTAAATAAATAACGCATATATATTCATCCCTAACTTAAAGTAGTATTTAATATTTTACAATTATACATGTTATTTAAATATGCATTTTATAAGCCTGACATATAATGACAAGAATGCTTCTAAAATTATATATATTGTATACAAAGTAATACATACATACATACATACATACATACATACATATATATATATATATATATATATATATATATATATATATATATATATATATATATATCGGGGACGGGGCTGGGCGGGGAGAGTACTCCCCATCCCGCCCCGTTCCCGGCGGGAAATTTAAAATTGTGCCCCCATCCCCATCCCCGCTCCCTTATTTCTGTCCCCATCCCCGTCCCCGTAGAGGCGGGGAATCGGGTTCCCCATCAGGTGCAGGTACAATTGATTTCCCTAGTAGCTATGAATAGATATATTACATTATACCATAGTTAATAGTACTAAAAAAAAATACTACATTGAGTATACAATCTTTCCTTCTACTCCCAAACAGTTAAGTCATTTTGTCCTCCTTCACAAAAGTTCTGACCCAACAAAGCATATGGGTAGGCATGGTAACACTTCGTCCTCTTTACTGTACGACTCGATCCCTGATCAATGGTGTTGGTGTCGCATAAGTCATTAACACCGTCAGATCCCAAGCTACATGTGAATTTGTTCTTGAAGAAACCTGTGTTTAATAATTGACAAATGCACGTAGCGACTTCAAGGGTGAGTAGTGCAAAGGGTTTAAATTTTTTAATTTGTGGTGATAATGGAGAATCATTGAGTCCTAGTAAAAATGTTGTTTACAAGGAAATGTTCAATAGTTTGTAACATATTTTCTTTTACGTTTTCTTATTATTTAAGTCTTTCAATATTTTAAAATTTTAAATTGTGTTTCAAGGTGGATCTAGAAATCTTCGTCATTTTGAAAAAAAAAATACATAGAGATCGAGTCATAAATATAATTAATTAAGATGAAAAATTAAAATATATCAAAATGAGATAAAAAAAAATTATTCAAAACAAAATATGAGATATAATTAATTAGATAAAATAATTTGAATAGAAAACATATTATAATAAAACACTCATATCACTATTAATATTTAAAAAGGAGAAAAACACAATGTTACAAATAAAATTCCACAAAATATGAAATATAATTAATTAGATAAAATAGTTCGAATAAAAAACATATTATAAATTACTAATATCATTAGTAATATAATAATAAAAGTGAGATTAAAAAACACAAGGTTAAATTCAATTAGAATTAAACTCACTATAAATTCATGTTGTAAGATATGAACCTCTATTATTTAGGAAAAAACTAGATGTGTTACCATCCATAAGCTAACTCATTTTTAGTTAAACTTATGTAAATTTAGTATTTATAAATTAACTATATATATATATATATATATATATATATATATATGTATATATATATATATATATATATATATATATATATAAGAGTTAATGCCTTTTTTGGTACTAGACTTATTAGGGGTTAGACACTTTTAGTCCACCTTAATAAAATTTGCCACATTTTGGCCACACTTATTAGATGTTGGACAATTTTAGTCCTCCGTCAGCTTTTCCATTTATTCACCGTCAAAATGAAGGGCATTTCTGTCATTTTACATGTTTTTCTTCTCAGCCTTCATTTTTTATGCTTTTCCAACGCTCATATTCAACAATCTAAAGAGAAAAGCTCTAATAAAGATTTCAGACCCTGTAACAATGGAGGATGCTCTCTCGGGAAACTCTCTCGCTGGAATGTTGCCGGGCAATCCTCGGGAAACTCTCTCGCGGGCATGTTGCTGGGCAATCCTCGCCGATCCTCGAAGGATGACGATCTTTTGGAACGCAACGTTAAGAAATCAAAGAGGGATGACACAGAAGTCCAAACGGATCCCATGGATACTCTACAAGAGTTTCAACCCATGGAAGACATAGCTCCAAACTGCTCACCGCCCTCGGAAAACAGTTTGGATGGGCAGACCTCACCCCAGCAGAAAGATAATGTTATCGCAACTCCATCGGATGGAGTCTCTAATCAGGAAAAATCCCAAACCGGTAAGGAAGGAAATTTTTCGTATAAGGAAAGACTAAACAAAAATTTGGTCTCTGGCTTCATCTCTAGTCAACCTGGCAAAATACGAGTATGATGATGATGTGGTGGCCGAGGATGATGAAGACGTTTATTCCCCAAGTATCTACCTAACAAAAGCAGAAAGAAAAAAGCTCTAATTCCTACCTAAAACTAAGAAACAAATTTTCATACATTCATTTACGCATTTTCTTATTGAAGTTGATGGTGGCTGACCCAGTGTATGAGGAAGCTCGACTGGCGGTGAGAACAGTCACTGGAATTTTTCTTCTTTCCAGAAGTCGTTCCAGATTCATCTCTGCCTGCGACGGTCATCTTAGATGATCAATCTGGACAAGAAAAAACAATCAAAATAATGGTAGGAAGCTTTTGGCAACTTTGCCTTTGTTTGCGTATGTGATGCAGCATGGAAACCAAAATTCAACAAAAAATAAAAATAACAACCAGCAACGAAATCAAGCAACGTCAATCAATCCAGATTCAATTGCTGGAGATCAATTTCAAAATGGCACAGAACAGAATCTAGAGGCTAGAACATAGATTGAACAGAATCCGGAGCGAATCAATCAATCACTGATGAACAATACGAATGCAGGTTTGCATCAGGGGAAGCTGATTGTAACAATTGAGGAGGTGGAGTGGAGAAAATTGGCTAAGATTGAAGAAAAAGATACCTTGGTTGGCAATTCAAAGGAGAGACCAAAAATGGATACGGTTAGGGCAAAATTCCAAGCGTTCTTCCCTCTCTCTTGGTTCAGCGCACATCGGAGCAGGAGAAGCGAAGGTTTTTGGAAGAGGATTGAATACAGGCATATTCCTGCCTTATGTTTTAGGTGTTGTACATTTAGGCATAATTTAGAGGCTTGTTGAAGGCCAAGGAATGCGAGAAATGTATGGGATGGGCCGGCGATGGTGGAGACAGCGAAAGTAGGCGGTGGAGCAGGGGATGACGAAAGTAGGCTGAGAAAAGCAAAAAAATAAAGGCCAAGAAGAAGAACCTATGAAATGACACAAACACCCTTCATTTTGACAGTGAACAAATGGATAATCTGACGGAGGATTAAAAGTGTCCAATATCTAATAAGTGTGTTCAAAATGTGGCAAAATTTATTAAGATAGACTAAAAGTGTCCAACTACTAATAAGTCTAGGACCAAAAAAGGCATTAACTCTATATATGACTTATTATTTTACAAATATAAATATCAATTATGGGGAAAATTTGGAAGAAAAATATCATTTTCAATAATACGTGGAATTATGATTATTTTCATAACCCAAAAGGGTAGCTCAAGTGGCAAATGAGCTCTCTTTGTGGGGGAGAATTTTGGGATAACTTGGGTTCAACTCCCACAAGTGACGATTCTCTTTGGGCCAATTTCTGTGCCTCTCGGAGCGAATCGGGTGGACCTAGACCATTAAACGGATAGAGAAAGACCCAGACCACAATGTGTGGTTTCCACAAAAAAAAAATGATTATTTTCATGACGTGAATCAATCGGAGGGTCAAAGACAAGCGACATGATTAAGGAAAATAGTGTTATACAGAATACATAGAAAATGGTGACCTCAACAACTAATAATTACGGAGTAATTAATACACGTAGAATAGTAACTTCAACTACACTATCCTCATTACTTTAATTTGATAACTTAGATTATTTAAAACTTATTCCAAAAATTCTTAACCTTATTGTCACTGTAAGCATACTATATCATTATAACTATTGTTAGTATTATTATTATTTTTTGTGCGATGCGTAAAAATAAGTGTCTAATATTAATATTTTATATTAAAATATTAAATTTATTAAGATTTTAGATATTTATATTATTATAAATAATAACAATAATAATAATGCAATTTTTTTATAAATTTAAAATTTATATTTTAGGAAATAACTAACATATAACTCAAATATATAATGTGTATATATTATTATTATTATTGAACAAGATAAGAATAATATATGGTGGATGTATGTGGACAATAACAATAGTGAAAAAAATAACGGAAGTTATAACGACAGGAGTATGTTTGTCCAAAATATTGCATAATACAACTCTTATAACACAATGTATGAAAAAACGTAACAGAAAAACGGACACAAATGAAGGATATAACCTTCATTCACACTTATTAGTTTTTAGATTAAAGTCAATATGCATTACGTAAACCTCACTCTTATATAATAATCCACAAATTACATAAGAACTATAAATCACACTATAAAGATTCTATGTGATCGACAAACTCAACCAAAAAGGTATCAACAAAAGTCAAAATTTATATTTTTTGGTACGAAAATCATTCACTTTCTTCTTGGATGAGGAGCATGTTCAAATTCCTCACGACCTCACATATGGGATAATATGCCTAGAATATAAATTAAGCAAATAATATAAGAAATAAGTGCTATCACCATAAGTCATAAGACAAGATAAGTGTTATCGTGCATGCGTACGTAAAATATATTATATTATATTTTTAAAAATTAAATATTTTAATGTTCTAAAATATGATTGAGCCATTTTTACTTATTATTACACATAAATATCAAATTAAACGCCTTAATATCATAATAAGCATTCTACATTATCATCATTATATCAAAAGGGTTCTACGTCACAACCCATCTTCCTTCATAGTCACGTTTTTAATGTTTGGATGTTTCTTACGAGGACTTTATTATTATTATTATTATTATTATTATTACTATTACTATTACTATTACTATTACTATTATTATACAGTGACATTTTAGTTTTTAATATTACCTTTTTTTGAGTACTATTAGACTTTGTTACAATGCACTATATGTTCATAATAACTACTTTTTCAACATACTGAAGCACAAAGAGTCAATACCACATCCACTTATGTTAAAACTTTAAAACCACTGCACAACCTCTCATATGAGAGTGCAACTTGGTGGCACTAGACCACAAGGTTATTCGCTACTTTATTCCTACCTTATTCTTTTTTCACTGAATTGCAATTGCTTTCTTCCCTAATTCCTTCCTCCCAACCAAATGACATGTTATATAATAATTTGCAAATTATAAAATAGTTAGAAAAGCATATAAGAAAGTTAAATCACACTATGAAGATCATGTGTGACACGTTATTTAACCAAAAATTACTACTTAAAGATATACACTAAGAAAATCACTTTCCAATGTAATAAGAGAGGTAAATCGAACAAAGAAAATCTTATGTGAAACAGATAGAATGTTACCCAGAGTCAAATTTATGACATTATAAGTTGTTGGCAACTTGGCATATTATTCTTTCCGTCACTACAATCTACAGATAATATGCACTGTAGTACACTCTTGTGTAATAGGCTACAGCCTACGAGCCATACAAAAATGTAAACACACTATAAAAATTATAAACAATAATGGGTCAACCGAGAATATTGAACATTGTTCTTGATTTTATGGATGGGTAAGGCATGTAATGTGTGTGTGTATGTGTATATAATTATATATAGCTTCTAAAATTTGGTGTTCCAAAATCAGTGAGTCCAACTCGGATTACCTCAACTGAGTGGGCTGGACTAGTTCTGCAGCCCAAATCGACTTCTGTTTCTCAACTCTCACAGCCAAAGCCCAGCCCAATTATGTATCTTAGTCAGATCTTTACAACTAAAAACAATTTAAAAACTTTAAATAGTTAGATATGTTGAGCATATATATAATATATAATATAAACATAAATGTGTAATTCAATTAGACTTTGAGTTGAGATAGAGCACAGATGCTTCAATTTGGTATCACAGTCAATACCATGTCAAAAATAATGGGTCTGAATCTCCGCATCACTCAATAAAAAAAAAAAAAAAAAAAAAAAAAAAAAAAACTATGATCCACGTATTACTTGAAGTCCATTAAAAGATAATCGGACACACGTGAGGGATGTAGCTCTAGATAAATATAGTTCATTGTTCTCAAACCCCCCCTATGACCAACTGAACTGTTCATACTATCTCTCGATAAATATAACTAACCCTAGCTACCATTGTAGTCCCTACCAAATGGTAGAGGTTGGAGAAACTTTTGCATGTGAAATACAAATCTTTTGCCCATTTATGGTATTACCCTATAGGCCTAAGCCATCAACCCAATCTAACTAAACTCCAAACTGCACACTATGTATCCACTGACACTTAAATTTGATTCTCTTTCGATTGTGCTTAGCATATAAATTTACAGTTTCCCATGGCCCAGTGACCTCACTCATTTGTTTGGTCCATTCATTTTTTTTTCTTTTTTTCCCAATATGATTTGACTTTACTACAATATGTTCAGTCATTTCTAATAATTATAACTCTTATATTATTTAAATATTTCTTAAATATATAGTTTCGTCGCGTCATTTATATAAATTTAACTCGTTTTTTTAATCAAGATTTTTCTTTTACAAGATAAGCAACTAATCACTAGCTCAAGAAGAAGAAGGAACAAACAAAAACATATAAAAAGGCAGATGAGCTTTCAATGTTCTATCACTGATTGCTTACCTTGCTTCATAACTTGCCAACTTTAAAAAATTATAATGTTTATTCTCAAGATCTTGTAGATGAGATTTTAAAACCGCTCTCATTGAATTAGAGATCAAGAATTTTGTTACATTAATGTTCACAAGTAATCTTACCACTATGTCGATCAAAAGCTATAGCTGAACACATTTGAAGACGCAACTTTATTTACTTATACACCGTCACCACATTTTTAAAAGAGAGGGTGTTGGACTGTAATCGAACCCCAAACATGTTATTAGGCAAAAATAAAAGTCTCACTTTTCAATTGCCAACATCCCTAAGACTATCTTGTTGTGACTTTTATATCATTGAGTTATGCTTCGGAAGATGGTAGTAATAGGGAAGCTTGCTAGCTATGATGGGATTAGAGAAATTGTGTACATTGTAATGTCTTGTTCTCATGGTCTTGCATAGGAGATCAGATCCGTAAATCGCTCTTAGTGAATTAGAGATCAAGCGTTTGTTGTGTTGATGCCCACAAGTAATCTAACTCCGATCCAGGTCATGTTATTAGCAATAGATAAGAATAAAACTCTCGTTCTATAGTCGTCAATGTTACTGAGACTTTTCTTATTTTGACCTTTATATTATTGAGTTATGGTTAAGGAGATGGCTTGGGGTGACTAAATCAATTAGGGTAGTAGTAGTTGGGAAGCTAGTTATGATGGGATTAGAGAAATGGTATCCACTGTATGTGGTGAATGGGAAGCCTTGTCAATTGTCAGGTCAATAATCAAAGGTGGGAAGTTTGGTCTAAGCCTTAATCATGGAGAAAATTAGCAGAAATTAAGGGTCGGCAGAGTTTTGTCTTCTTCAATTCGAGTCAATTAATGAAGATTAGCGGCCAACCTTGTGATCTAAGTTGAAATAATGGTTGGTAATAAGCTAGTCCGTGATATCTCAAAAGTCAAGATTGATGACATCTTTAATTAATTTCAGAAATATTGACACCGAAACGTACTAATAAAGAAAACAAGTCAGATACAACATTGTATCAGAATCGGATAAGTTTAAAGAGGAGTTCTCGAGCTAGACGATGATAGACTTTGGATCTTAGCCTAATTTGGTGGTATGGACAAGGCCCTCCAGCAGGTGAGAGCTTTAGGCCTAGGGTGAAATGGCATTGAACATAATGCAGCTTTGATTTTAGTTATGAAAATTATGGAGAATCTTGATACTCAATAAAGTTAGGCGTTAGTTAAGAAAATTCTAAATCTACCAAATTTGTATAGTAGATTTGTAAGGATCCGATTTCTCTTGACATTTATAATGACTTATAAGTATAAAATCAAAGAAGAAGGAAGGAAAATGCCAAAAGGGACAGCAATATAGGGATGTTTGGTAAATAACTGATAGCGGTTAGATTATTGGATTAGTGAGTTTGACTACTTGATAGCATTAGCTGATTGTATAAATATGTTTGGTAAATTAGCTATTAACTGATCATGTTACATACAAAATGACTTTATCAAAAAGTTGATTGAAAAAACCGTCTTGACCAACTTTTTGAATTTTAGTATTTTAGAGAAATAAGTTATTGCCAAAAAAAAAAGTGAATTAACCACTCGTATTAGTTGTTTAACCAAGTCAAACAGTTAATACTGGTCAAACAAGCCAAAATTGACTGATAGACTAACTATTTTGCCAAATAGAACCATAATCAATATTTCCATATATCTGTATACAAGTTTTTCTCCATCACCCAAATTCTTTTTACTACTTTAGCATTGTTTTACTATGTTTGCTCAAACCCTAATCTATTGATTATAAAATCAACACCGGACACAACTATTAATGATTAAAAATCTTATCATGATGAATACAACTAAAATCATTACCAATAATTTTAGTATAGTAAATCTAAAAACCACAAATATATTATACCTAATACAGAATACACTAGTACCGATCAACAATATAAACTTCTCTACACAATATAATATGGTAGCGCTGAAATAATAATATATTTGATTGTACCAAATATTACTATACAATATAATATAGTAGCGTTGAAATAATAATATACTTGATTGTACCGGATGTTACTGGCGGCAAGAAATCCCCACAATATATTTAAAGTGGGTTGAGTAGCAGTGTAAATGTGTAATTATGACACACATGACAGAAGACAGAGCAAGTGAGGTGGGGTCCGGACACAGCTGCGGTTGCGGGTACAAGGTTTACCCAGGAAGGATTGATTAATGATGATGATAGGAATTTAAGGATTTTAAGGAATTAATGAAAGGTGTTTTGTTGTTAATCCGGCATACTAGAAACCATATATCCCTCAACACCGTTTTATCTTTCATCAAACGTAATTCCAAAACAAACCCATCACTGAAACTTCATCCTCTCAATCGGCCCCTCACGGGTTTGGATAAGATGTTTGTGTGAAATCTTGGCCCTATGTTCGTCGGATTAACCTCGTAAGAGAATAGGGGGAAACTGGGAAAAGTGGTTTTTAAGGTTTAAAGAGTGGAAGCCCCACTGGTGGGAGGGTTTTTTAAGGGATGGAGATAAGTAGCAGCTGCGGGGCGGCGGCGGCGGCGACTGTGAAGACGCCGGAGGCGGACACGGAGACGCCGACGGCGGCGGCGCGGATCTACCCGGCGAAGCCGTTGTCGTACAGCAGCAACGGGGTGCTGAAACGGCTGAACCACCCCCGTCACGGGGGTGGGTTTGGGAGCAACGGGCACCACCACCCCGTGGTGGTGCACTACAGGGAATGTTTGAAGAATCACGCGGCGGCGCTGGGGGGGCATGCGGTGGATGGGTGTGGGGAGTTTATGGCTTCGCCGACGGCTAACCCGGCCGACCCGACCTCCCTGAAATGCGCGGCGTGTGGGTGTCACCGTAATTTCCACCGCCGTGAGCCGCCGGAGGAGGTGCTTTCCCCGCACGACGCGGTGGCGGCGCTTGAGTACCAGCCGCACCACCGCCACCACCCTCCTCCGCCGCCGCCGCAGGGTCACCGCGGCGGCGGCGGCAGCGGGTGCCATAGCAGCCCGAATTCCTCGTCCCCGCCGCCGATCTCCTCGGCGTATTACCCCTCCGCGTCTCACGTGCTTCTCGCACTCGGCACGGGACTGTCCGCGCTACAAACGGACAACACCGCCCCCATCTCCGTCACCGCCGTCACTCCTCCGTCAAATCCTAACGCCAGGAAGCGGTTCCGAACAAAATTCACCCAAGATCAGAAAGACAAAATGTTGGAGTTCGCCGATAAAATCGGGTGGAGGATTCAGAAGCGAGACGAAGATCTCATCAACGAATTCTGCGCAAAAATCGGCGTGGAAAGAGGAGTTCTAAAGGTATGGATGCACAACAACAAGAACACCGTCGGCAAGAAAGACCAACCGGCGGCCGCCGCCGCCGATGACAATGCTCACGGTGTCGATTTTGATTTAGTTAGCACAAAAACCCACAACCTTGCCTCCACCGCCACCGCCACCGCCGTCGCCGCCGGCGCCTGTCAATTCGACGTCAAGAATGAAAACGGCAGCCGTAGTGTTACTGCCACTAATGGGTCTTTCTATTCTTCTTGATCCGCCATGGATTAAAAACACTAGCTTTTCTTAGCTCTTATTAGCTTTTCTGCTTATTAGACTAGTGTACTACTTCTACTCTAATTAATTAACCTTCTGTTCACTGTTCTATCATCTTCTTCTCTGAATGATCTGATCTGATGATGACAAAAACAACATTATATTCTCCGGCAATCTAATTCCTTTATGTTTAAGGATCTGAGTTTCCTTAATCAAACAGATTTCTTAAGTGGTCCAACCTGCATTAGCATCACAGATTATTCCAAATACAATCATTAGCTGCAAATACATACATCCTAGGTTTCTTTAACTTTAAATCTCTGTATGTTTACATTAACTGTGTTTGGTTTCTGCAATTTACTAATGATGGGCATGCTAAAATCTAAATAAAGTCACAATCTTGATACAATCCTAACCAAGTTGATCAGGTTGTTGATGTAGAAATCATAAAATTTCAAGTTTAACTTTCTGTAAGAGTAATTTATTTGTTTTCTTGATTTAAGTCAGTCATTTTTGAACAACCTAAACATTACGCATAATTTCAAATAATAATACAAAACTTTCAAATAATAATGGTGAATTTCTTTGGTAACCCTAAATAAAGCCACAATCTTGATGTACATGTGTGGAGATTATTATACTATAATAAGGATTACTTAGGGTGGGGGGTTGATTTGAGGATTAAGTTATCCTGTTTTGGGATTAGCAAATAATAAGGATTACTATATTGTGGGTTTTGTGTGTAGAATGATGTTGGGTGGGGGTTTGATTTGAGGATTAAGTTATCCTGTTTTGGGATTAGCAAAAAAGCAAAGCAGATAATCAATCTCTTATTGGTAGTTGCTGTTGGGTAACATCACTTCCCTTGAAAGGGAATTGGGGATAATTATTGGATGTGTGGGTGGGTGAAATGACGAATCTGCACCTGTCCATCACTCAGTCACACTGTAGGTTTCCCTTTTTTTCCCTGTTGCTTTGCATATACTAAAATGGAAAGTGGGATTTATTAAAATGTATTAATACAATACGTAAACTTGTAATGACCACATCACTGGTCTACCCTTGAGGTGCTTGGGGAATACAAATCTAGGGTTTGATCATGCATTGCTGACACTTCTGCTCTGATTCTTGGAAAAGTGTAGAATATTATAAAAATATAATAATAATAATATTACACTTAAAGACTAAAAAATGTCCTCGTGTAATAATATAATAATAATAACAATCAAATCCGCATGTGTAGGCAGTGTAGTTCAATTGGTCATAGAGATAAAGATTGTGAAGAATAATAACAATCAAGGGTAATATAATAATTTTTTATTTTTTCTTTCTTAGTTGTTACCAAATTGTAATTCCTATAGGGTGTATGAATTGTAATTCAACAAATAGAGAGAATTGTAATTCTTTCCAACTAAATATGGTAATTGAGTAGGGATGACAACGGGGCGGGGAGTGTACTCCCCGTCCCCGTCCCCGCAACCCCGCCCCCATACCCGTCCCCGTCCCTGTCCCCATCTCCGGCGGGGAATTGAAAATATTCCCCATCTCCTTCCCCGTCGAGGAATTAGGCGAGGACGGGGATTCCCCATTCTCCGTCAACTCTTAGTCAAATTTTTAAATAATTGTAATTTTTAACAATAAAAAAATTTAAAATCTATTCAAAAATTAAAATACTAAACTATATATATATAGTATACTGCTTATATACAGTGGCGACATTATGCTGCTAGTACATATATATAAATATATAACTATATAAATAAATTTTATATATATATATATATATATATATATATATATATTTATTTATTTATTTATTTATTATTTATTTTTTATATTTATTTATATATTCAGGGACGGGGTGGGGCGGGGCGGGGAGGGGTATCCCCATCCCCGTCCCCGTCCTCGGCGGGGAATCACACATATTCCCCGTCCCCGTCCCCGTTCCCCGAAAATTTCCCCATCCCCGTTTCTGTCGGGGCGGGGATCAGGGATCCCCATTGGGGACGGGGCACATTGCCATTCTTATAATTGAGGAGCTCAAATAATTATGTTGTAACTGCGATTCAATTTATGTCAACCAAACAGGCCATTAAAGTAGGACGGTTTTTGTTTTTATAACTAGTGAAACATGAGTTTTGATATATTATTATTGGAGTAATTGTGCATGACCCATTTATGTTGGATTCAACTCGGTTAAACGAACTGGATCGAAGGACGCGGTTGAATGGAAGAGACTCATTCATCCTTAACTAAAGATTAAGAGCTCAATTCTTGAATTTGGAAATAGAGCAACCTTAAATCTTCAGACTAGTTATCCCACTTAAAAATGGTCATTTTGTCCGATGATGGAAACCCTAAGAAATTCGTCTTCATAAATTCAGTATGTTATCAGCTCATCTCGAAAAACTCAATTCACATGGTGACCAATTACGTTGTTATGAACCTCATATTTATAATCTATACGAAATAATACGAGTATCATCATCTTGTACAAATTTCAGCTACTATAACAAATTAAAACATTTTGTTCTATACAATTATTCTTATGTCATATTTATTTATTTCGTTTGTTATCTAGTATGAATTCACATCGACGTTGTCTTTATCACGACACTAGAAATTACCAATTACAGCTAGCTAGGGTTATCATATGATGATGTTAGGAACATGAATGGACCTTTGGAAAACCCCAAGGCAGATTGCTGGGGCTAAAACAAGACACCCTATCTTAATGATCAACGTATGAAAGGGGCTTTGCACTTTGTTGTGTTTTCATGGTGGTCCAACCTTTACCCGTTTTAATGTCAACTTCAAGAGGGCAGCCTATACACCGTTGGATTTAAAATCAAATCTTAAATCAATTTAACTTTCAAACGAGATCTCGAACCATTAAATATTTGTGTTCAATTCAAATTCTGAACAATCATTCTTCTCCAAAAGGTTGAATCCCCGACCCCAAGGCCTCCTAGCAAACAGGGCCAAATGCCTATAAGCACAAGAAATCTGCGTACTTTAGACATAATTCTTACACTGTTACCGCCAAAGTTCAAACTTTGGTCTCTTTTCCCAAATACTACCCACTGAATCATTAAGCTAAGTCCGTGCAGATTCTGAATAGTCATTCGATGCGGTGTGGATTAGATTATGTGGATCTCTTCTAACTTAACTAGCTATAGAGATCTCGAATTCGATTATCGAGTCCCAAAAATATAGTTATTTACTTTGATTTACTGAAAAACTTATAATTATTACCTGAATGTGCATTTTGGGCAAGCTCATCTTATGATCAGAGCTGATAAATGACTACAATGAGATAAACCATTATAAGTTTTTCATAGTTGATCGACTCAAACAAAGAAACTCTATAGATAACTTCCACGACAAGTCAAACTTGGAACATAAGAATGTAGGTCAAAGGCCTTGTGGTTGAGCAGCATAGCTGTGCCTTCTCAAATGGAAGATATCAGATTCGAATCCTAGTGTGAGGGCGTTGACTCTTTGTGCTTCAGTTCGAACCCCAGTGTGAGGGCTTTGACTCTTTGTGCTTCAGTAGGTTGAGAAAGTATGTATGAATAGATACTACATTGTAATAGAGTCAGTAGCATTAAAAAAAAAAAAAAAAAAAAAAAAAAAAAAAAAAAAACCACGAGAGAGTGCTTTGCCACCCTAATCTCAGTGCATGGGATTCTACTATAGCCTTGTTGAAGAACCATATTCAATATGCTCCTTTTTGTGTCATGATTCAATATTGATCTAATTTGGATTAAGATGAAAATATTCGAGACTTCAAAATCGTCATAAATTAAAAGTAAATGTTTAAAAAGAAGGAATTAAAGTCGATTATGGGAAGAAAAGAAGAGAGTCGTGTTAGAAATAAAGTGTAAATATAAGTTTGTTTAACCAAATTAGGAAGCTGGGAGGCATGGCGGACCTCCTCCTCCAACATCCATTGTTGGCCATGTCCTAAAGTGCATCTCATCAAACAGTCCGGCATCTTATATTTATGTTGGGGATAAAGCTGTAAAGTTTGTTATTTAATGTTGTTTTTCTGAGTTAAAGTCTTAAAGATTCCATGTTGTATGGGCTGCAATCAAAGCCCAGCAAGACTATTGGTCCTTTCCCTTTGATCGAAACATTTGGTCCATGTATTAGCAGGCCAATCCACAAGAAGCCCAAATTTATAGCGCCCATAGTAAATCCACCTTGTTCAATAGTTATGTTTTCTTTTTTTTTTTTTTTTTAAAACCAGTTCAATAGTTATGTTGTGCAACCGAATGCACCATGCGCATGGTGCATACGATGCAAAACGACGTCGTTTTAACTAAGAATGCACGTCTCACTTAAAAAAAAAATCAGGTTTGATTCTCGACAATAGTATTATTGTGGATATATATTTATGAATTTCTGGATATATAGTTATGAATTTCTGGATATTTAGTTCATTCATTGCGGATATTTAGTTCATTCATTGTAGATATTTACTTCATTCATTCACTGTGGATATATAGTTATGAATTTATGGATATATAGTTATTAATTTGTGGATATATAGTTATGAATTTCTGGATATATAGTTATGAATTTATGGATATTTAGTTCATTCATTGTGGATATTTAGTTCAATCATTGTGGATATTTAATTCATTCATTGTGGATATTTAGTTCATTCATTGTGGATTTTTACTTCATTCATTCGCTGTGGATATATAGTTATGAATTTGTGGATATATAGTTATGAATTTATGGATATATAAAAATGCTATTGCCGGGAATCGAACATGATTTCTTCTTTAAGTGGGACGCGCGTTTTTTAACCAAAATGACGTCGTTTTACTTCGAATGCACCATGCGCATGGTGCATTCAGCTGCACAGCATAATTTGCGCACCTTGTTAGGCAATTTATATGCACCAGGGCACGCATTGCATTGTACGCCCTGATGCAAAACGACGTCGTTTCAGATTTTTTTTTTTTTTTTTTTTTTTTTTGAAATTTCACTACCCTGTGTTGGCGGTTATTTTTTTATTTTTTTTTATTTTTATTTTTTTTAAATCTCATGTTCAAAAATGTACATAATTTTATATTAGAATACACATAATTGTATACATGAATGTACATAATTGTATAACAAAATACACATACTTTTTTTTAAAGATAATACATATAATCTAACATAATACATAATATATATAAACTTTTAACATAATAAACATCAACTCTTAACATAATACACATAAATTTCCTGTTTCGGATGTACATAATTGTATAAAAAAGATGTACATGATTGTATAAAAAATGTACATAATTGTATAAACAAATACACATAATCATGTCAACTCTCTACATAACTTCCCAAAACGACGTCGTTTTGAGAGGCGCGAGGCGTACAGTGGTGCAGGGTATAACGATAGACCTTGTAACAATGCAGGTATAAATTTTAAGATTTCTATTTTTTTTTTTCATTTCCTTGCTTACTGCGCACAAAGAGCCCCCTCACTTTGAGATGTTGCTCTCACATTGTCGCTGCTAGTGAGACTCGTTCCCTTATCATACTTTCCAAACTTCACATCTATGACCAGTTGAGCTGCCCATGCAAATTATTTTTTATCTCTTTATCAAAGGGATGGTGGAGTCCCGGAAAAACACAAACTAGCTATTAACAATGATGTTTTTATTGCTAAAGAGTGTAACGTCTTATTCTATCGTTACTTAAGAAGTTAATTATACTAGAGGAGATGAGAGAACTCCAAAATCTATCTACGAATCACGATTGTGAAGCATAGATGCATTGCTAAAAAGTCGAGTTAATTACGAATCATGTACCAATACCTGACTATTAGTTGCTTATATTCATGTTTAAAGATCGATTTTAAGTACCAGGACTATGTGGTCTAATGGTATCCGGGTTGGACTTCCAATTGGAAGATTATGAGTTCAAGCCTCAGTTGAGGCGTTATTGGTTCTTTGTGTTTCAGTAGGTTGAGAAAGTATATGAACAGATACTACAATGTAATAGAGCCAGTAACTCTAAAAAAAAAAAAAAAGATCGATTTTAAGTAATGAAAAATACTTGTTATTACAATATAATTCAAAATTATACAGTAAATAAATTCTACTCTTGTATAATAACTTGCTCTCGGAAGTTGATATTATTGAAATTTGATGAGTACAATTTTGATGAAAATTTAGTTGTCATTGTTCATAAGAAGGTTGAATCTCTAATCTCAAGAGGCGTCATGCCCTAGCTCGACAAAGCATTCGGGATGATGTAAATCATAGTAGTTCAGCTAAATATACAGTTTAAACATTTGCTTATTGAACACAAAAAGCTCCACTCACTATGAAAGGTTGCTCATACAATATCGATGGTAAAACTTGATCTCGTGTCATTATTTCTAAATTTTACCCTTGTAAATAACTTAGCGGAAATCTGGTTGTCATGAAATGAGCATGGGCTGGGGGGGGGGGGGGGATACATACCGACTTGTATGCGTTTTATAACGTAAAGACAACAGGAATATAGGAAAACAAGTCGTATGTAAGAAACTCCATTTTCCAATGTCCCAACAACATCTCAATCAAACCTTCTAGAAGCTGTACCTTTGAACCTCGTTGGTGTCTTCTTGTAATGTCGACGTTGTCTATGTCTTCCCCATTATCAACGGCAGGGCCCAACTGGTTGATGCACACCCCACGTGTCCTTTAAATTTATTTTTATTAAAAATATAATTTTTTAAAATTGATTTGTTGAATAGACTATGTGCTTTGCCTAAAATTAAAGTTGTACAATAATATTTGTAAGTAAACCCCCCCACCACTTTTAAATTGAATAATTAGTAGTATGTACTCAATTCACGCGTTGAAATTGTGATGCATTGCACGTTTTTTTTTTTTTAAAAAAAAAAAAAAATTAATTGTTATATTATATTTATAGTTGAAATGTAAAGTTCGTTTCTCAATTATTTGCAATGTAAATTTGGTTCTTAAATTTTTGGTGAAGTGATGACATATCTTATCACGATATTAAAGTTTCGTTAAAAACACAAGAGTTAAATCTACTATATTATTAATAAGTTAAGTACTATATTTTTATTATGAAAATAATTAAGAGATTAAAAATGTCATACAAAACACATGCATCAAGATAATTCGCACCTTCATATCGTGAGAGCTATTCGGGAGATAGTAAGGTAGGCTTGGTAGCGTCATTTAAAAATGCGAATTGAAAAGGTACATCGGTAGACAATTAATATTGATAATAATAATAATTTTAGAGCAACACCATCTGTGAATTTTGGAGAGGTTTTTGCAGATGAAAAATCTCTTGCCGTGATCTTTTACATATGATAAAAATAATATATTTTTATTTGTCACGTCATAATAAAAGTGAGGAAGTTCAGAATTAAATACAATATAATTATTTTCACCATATGAAATAAAAATAAAATGTTTGTTTTCATGTTTATAATTTTTAATGTTTTATGGTATATAAAAATAAGTGTGGTATGGAGAAAGGTGTAGTGGGAATATGAAGCTTTGGTTGTAAAAAGAAGCGCGCCTTTTCATTACATTACAAAAGCTGCACACAAAGTTAACATGTGTCATGAGAAAAAAGCCTACTATAATCGAGTAAAAAAATATGATTTTTACTCCATATATATCATAATATTATTAGTTTGATATTTGTTAATATTTTATCAATTAAACTTGTTGTATAAAATTTTTATAATACATGTTACATTTTTGTGTATTATGCAAACTATTATACAAGTTAATAATGTACACATGACACGTTCTTTGATAATGATTAAGGGGGCGTTTGGTTCAGGTTATATAACATAACCAAGGGAATGTAACATTCCAAAGTTCACATAACAGTGTTTGGTTCATATTATCTTAGGGAATGTAACATTCCCAAGGAATGTCACATTTCTTCCACATAGGATTTTGAAGGGAATGTGATTCCCTTCAAAATCTTAGGTAATGTAAGATAACCTTGGTTATGTTAGTTTATTATATATATATATATATATATATATATATATATATTTGTAATTATATATTTTTTAATTTTTATTATGTTATGTTAGCATATAAAATAATTTTGTTTCTCAAGTTCAAAATTTTAGAGTTAATATTTTAAAATCATGTAATTATATATGATACCGTTATCTTATTTATTTATTTTAATTTTTAAATTTATTAAAATATATGAAAATATGTTAAGGATATTATAGTGTGTATAAAAGATAACCCTAAACTAAACATGATTATATTACATACCCCAATTTTAACCAAACACAGGAATCTAACATTCCCAGTAATCTAACATTCCCAGCAATCTAACATTCCCTAAGGTAATCTGACATTCCGTGAACCAAACGGCCCCTAAGAGTTATCTAAAAAAAAAAAAAAAGCAAACTGACTTTTAAAATAATAATAATAATAATAATAATAATTTGAACTACTTTATAAAAAAGATTTGAAGTTAGCCGTTTGGGACATGATTATTACAGAATATTGCATAAATCTGTTTACATTTTTCACTTTCCTCACACAAATAATTACAATTATCATTATACGACTGTAGGCATATTAGAGTTTGAAACACTTGATTAAAGTTGATTGTTAAAAATTAAAAAAAAAAAAAAAAAATTTAATCGGCAAATTTTGGTCAAGACGATAAATTTTTCTCAGAGTAATTAAAAGTATAAAAACAAAGGACGATCATTTTTATAGTCATGTATCAATAATAAAATGTCCACCAAAATGGTGTCCAAATTTGTAAAATATAATTCTCATATCTATAAGTTATATGAGTTTGCTTATTTTCAACTCTCTATCGGGTTAATTTCATTTTTTTTTTAAAAGTTGTGTTAGTAAATGAAGTTGACATAATTGTGGATGGTTACAAGTTACAACAATTAAATGAGAAGCACATGATATGGCACGATGGTGAGTAGATGTGTAGTGGAAACCAGATTTCATTACTATCTTAATTGTTTTTACTTTATTGCATTTCAGTTTTGACTGTAGGAATCCAATTACTAGCATCATTTATTACCATCTTAATTACTTTTTACTTATTGCATTTCCGTTGTCATCCGAAGAATAATAAACTCATATATTATTATTTTTCCAAAAGGTTAAATCCCAACCTTAAACGGAACACAAAGGCTATATCTTTATTTATTGCGCATAAGAGTCTTCCTTACTTTGAGAGATTGCTCCTACTCTGTAGCTAGTGAGACTCGATTCCTAGTCATTCTTCTCAAATCAACTGAGTTGCCCATGCGAGCAACTCATATATTATTATTGTTTTTTTTATTTGGGTGACAAGAAAAATTCACAATCTCTATACAAAGGTTTGCAATTGATAAACTCATAAACCAACATGGTTGGCATGGTGGTTCAGTACCCCGGCCCTTAAGCATGAGGTTGGGGATTCAATTTTCACCTATGTGAATGGAGCAAACTATTTGGCCAGTCCCCTACACTACTATTTAGTGTGCTGACAATAGGGACGGCGGGAGGAATACCTTTGGGCAACAAAAAAAATTTTGAACTCTACTCATCATGTGTGTAATAACATGCAAACCACACAAGATTACATAAGAGAGGTAAATCGAACTAGAAAGATCACGGGGGATTAGACTTCTGGCTATCCCGCTTAGATAAGTCGAACAACTCAATTATTATAATATTTTTTACCAAAAAGTTAAATTTTCAACCTTGATGGTCCATCACGCCCGTCCCGCAACAGATATGATCAAATGTCCGTGTGCCAGAGACTTATACTACCACTATCAAATTTCAAATCTCAATCTTTTTCTCTCAAATATTGCATACTGATAGTGAGTTAAACTAATACGTAATACTCAATTATATTCTATTTGTACCAAACACATGATACAAGTATCTTTCAAAGATACCCGCATAGACTTAGTTCAATGATTTAGTGGACAATATTTGAAAGAAGAGACCAAGGTTCGAACTTTGGCGGCTTCTTTGTGCATATTAATACCGTAATTTACAATTTCCTATAAAATTAAATCGAGTTGAAGTATGGGGACCCTTGAGATTGGAAACTCAAGCTTTTGGGAGAAGTATCTTTCAAAGACGCGTGAAAAGAGGTGTGCATTTAAGGATTTACCAAATAAAAAATCGTAACTTTTTTATCTGGAAAATTGATGATCCCATCCGACTTCTCACGAGCCAATCAGCGGTGCGGCGTTACAGTTTTACCGAACAAAAATCAAATCAAATCAAATCAACGCAGAAAACCGAATATAATAAAGGCGGAGAGGAGAGCGGGAGACGTTTTGATTTTCCTACCACCACCCAAACCTTCTCCGTTCCCATCACGTCCACCGGTTCTTGATTCTACGGCGGCGCCGGCGCCGGCCATGCCAGTACTAAGTGCGTACGGATTACCCATTTCCCCTCGATTCTTGAACAGCCCCCACCACTGAAACCTTTCCAATTGGGTCGGGATTTCACTGTTTCAGCTTCTTTCTGGCCATCAGCTTCTCTGCAATTCATTTCTGGTCGGTTTTGACGCGGATGTTTTCTGGGTTTTAGGTGATTAGTCTATTTTGTTGCCTTTTGGGTTTTCCCCCATGAACTCTTCTCCCTCTGCTGTTGCGTTTTGCCGAGGTTTCAGACGGGTTTTGGTTCTTCTCTTACTGTCATCTTTATTTCTGTGAAACATGGGATATGTTTCTCGGTTGAAGGTCGCTGTTTACTGGTATTTGCAAGCTCTGTTAGGCTTCTTCTCTGCATTCCTTTCCAGGTAATCTCAGAAAATTAGCTTCTTGTTGCTGTCTTGAAATTTAGTACTCCGTATTTGTTTTTGTTTAGGTTTTTGCTGTTTTCGATTTTGCAGGCTGGGAAAGGGCCGTGTTGATTCTTTGGAGAAAAGTTTGGATTTTTCTGAAACTTCTGGGGAGTTTACTTGCGGTGAAACAGAGACGATGAACATGTCTGAGGAACTGAATTCTGCCGTTCGGTCTGAGGATTCAGAGGTCGAGTCTGAGAAGAACAGTGGCGGTTTCACTTTTAGATTCCCGACATACGAGGAATTCATTAATGGAAAGAGAGGAATTGGAATTGATGATTCTGAAGCAAACGTTAAACAACTCGATCTTTCTTCTAAGGATGTGTGCTTAGAAGTTGCATTGAACAAGGATTTGAAGCAATCTGATTGCGAAGGAGAAGGTGTTTCTAATGAAGAGAATGGGGATTCTGACATTCATGTGTGCAGCAAAGAGGAAACTGGGGTAATAAACTTCGGAGAAATTAAGGATATGAAGCAATCTCATTCTAAAGGAGAGGATGTTTCTGAGAAAGAAAATGAGATTTCTGACATTCATGTATGCAGCAAAGAGGAAACTGATGTGACAAACTTCGGAGAAATTAAGGATTTGAAGCAATCTGATTATGAAGGAGAAGATGTTTCTAATGAAGAAAATGAGAATTCTGACATTCATGTATGCAGCAAAGTGGAAACTGAGGTGACAAACTTCGGAGAAATTAAGGATTTGAAGCAATCTGATTACGAAGGAGAAGATGTTTCTAATGAAGAAAATGAGAATTCTGACATTCATGTATGCAGCAAAGAGGAAACTGAGGTGACAAACTTCGGAGAAATTAAGGATTTGAAACAATCTGATTATGAAGCAGAAGATGTTTCTAATGAAGAAAATGAGAAGTCTGACAGTGATGTGTGCAGAAAAGAGGAAACCGAGGTTGCAAAATTGGGAGAAGAGAAGAGAGAGTTTGGTAAAGCAGAGAGTGATTCTCAATGTGATCTTGATTTTACTGACAAGGCTTCGTTTCAATCTGAGAAAGATTCATCGGTTACTGATTCTGATTCTTCGTCGCTTACTTTTGAGCATATGCAATCTCTCATGGGTCGTCGCTTAGTTGATTCACACAGTGAAGGTTTCTTGTCTGATGAGGATTTCGGGGGAGAAGAATTCAAGCTCAATGACTTGAACAATATGGATACCGACGAAAATCAAGAATTTGGTACTTCTGATCAAGATAATAGTGTTGTAATGGATGAACATCTTGAAGAATTCAAGCAAGATGGTAATGATAGTTATAGCCTTGAAACTATAGAATCTGAGTTTTTATCAGAGAACGATTTTCATGAAGGTGCAGGGAGCTTCGAGGATTGGGGATTAGATGATGATTCTGTGACGGGAGAGGTCCTTGAAGAATTCAAGCAAGATGGCAACGATATCCTCGAAACTTTGGAACCCGAGTTTCTATCAGAGAACGATTTTCGTGAAGATTGGGAACTAGATGATGAGTTCTTCACCAACAATTTATCAGAATCTGGGAATCTTGTGTCGGAAAACGAGTCAGATTTCGATTATGGGGATGCAAACAAGATGGAATCTTTGTGGGAACATCAAGATTTGCTCGAACAGATAAAGATGGAGCTCAGAAAGGTCAAGGCCAAAGGGCTACCCACAATCTTTGAAGAGTCTGAGTCTCCCAAAATGGATGACTTAAAGCCTTGGAAAATCGATGAACGGTTCCAACGCGAAGACTGCATAGGTGAGCTAATGAAGTTCAACAAGAGCTACCGAGAAAGGATGCGTAAACTCGATATCTTGACATACCAAAAGCTCTATGCAATAGGTAATAATTCATCTCATCCTAAAATCCTAAAATGCCATAATGCCCCTTTCCTTTAATCAACTCACTTTAATGTCAATTACTTACAGGTTTTCTGCAGAAAGATCCTCTAAAAGATCCATTTCAATTGCTCTCAACCCAGAAATCTTCGGGTCCAGCTCTCAAATTTTGGCCATTCAAACATAAAAGCGGTGAGATTGATCCAGTGGCAAAGTTTGTCAAGGAAATACAGTGTGAACTGGAAGTGGTATACGTTGGACAGATGTGCCTTTCTTGGGAATTCCTACATTGGCAATACGGGAAGGCCTTAGACCTGTGGGATTCTGACCCGCGAGGGATCCATCGATATAACGAAGTTGCTGGAGAGTTTCAGCAGTTTCAGGTGCTCCTGCAAAGATTCATAGAAGACGAGTCTTTCCAAGGGCCAAGAGTGCGATACTATATCAAGAGCAGATATGACTTCCGTAATCTTCTCCAAGTTCCTGTTATAAGAGGTAAGGTTGTAGCTTTTTTGCATGAGTAGTTTCTGTAACGAACGATATTGATATTAGGCTTCTGTGCAGAGGATAACCTGAAGGACAGGAAGAAGGCGATGAAATTTGAGAAGGGTGACTTTGCCATTACAAGCGATATTCTCGTGGAGATCCTGGAGGAATGTATAAGAATCTTTTGGCGGTTTGTTAAAGCTGATAACGACTCCACCGTGCCGGTGAAAGGAGTGCACCCCGAGATTGAAAATGCAGATGATCTTGAGCTGTTAATGGAGGTCAGAAGAAGTCTGCAAAAGGTAGCGAAAATGGTCTATTTCTGCCAAGGTTGAAAAAATCGCTAAGCGCCTAGACTGCCTAGGCGGACGCCTAGAGCGCCTAGGCGGGCGCCTAGGTGGCCGACCGCCTAGGTGCCGATTAATCGGCGCCTAGGCCCGATTTTTGCAACACTGATATTTTCTGCATCTATTTTCATTAGCTATTTCGCGAGTAGCTTATTCTTCTTTTTCCGGCTTGGATTGCAGAAGGAGAGGAAGCTCAGGGACACATTGAGGAGCGAAAACTGCGTGTTGAGGAGATTCAGAAGGTGCAGAGATGACGACGATGATGATTCAGATCATGTTCTTCATTTCTTCTCACAAGTAGACATGAAATTAGTTTCTAGGGTTCTTAACATGTCTAGGCTAACAACAGAGCAATTGGTTTGGTGCCATAACAAGCTGAGCAGGATTCGTTTTGTAAATAGAAGGATTCATGTAGACCCCTCATTTTTGCTCTTCCCATGTTAACAGTCTTCTCTTTAGCACATAATTAAGTTTCAATTGAAATAATGAGATTCAGAAGTCAACTATAACATTGAATATTACTTTGATATCTTAATACTGAAGTAACCATCACAATTCAAAATTTTGGAAGTGTAGTCAAAATTGCATTAAGGGACAGTTTATTACGATAGAAAAGTACATAACATCAAAGATGAATGCATGTATAAAAATTTACAGACTGACTTTCTGCATTTGACTGTCATAAAGAAAGGCAGGCAATGCTACAGCCTACCATCATTAACTATATGATAAGCTTAACTGTGATTTCTAGCTAAGCTACAATCTTTTACAAAAATCGAGCATACATCCACCAAGCAAGTCAAAATGGTTTGCGAGATAGATTTTGGAGGAGAACCAAGCAGATGAGGTGTGAGGAGCTTCAAATGCTCTAAATTTAGATTAGAAAATAAACAACTCGATTCCTTCCAATGAAAAGTCATCCCGGGTACATAAGCTGTATATAGAAGAAACAAGTTAGTAATCATGCGAAGGCTACAAGATTGAGTAAATAAATTATAAAGATCAGAAGTGTTCCTTTTTCATACACATTCATTGATGCTCATGTTCTTTATTTTCAAATTTTTGGGAAGAAAGGGGGAGAAGGGTCTATCTGTCTTAATATGTTAGTAGGGCAGAGGCGAAGGCAATGCGCACCTTCATACTTTGTAATCTGATTCAGTATTAAGAAAAAACAATGGTTAAATATGAAAAATTGATCAACCAGGATAAAAAAGAGAAACCTCTAGTCATTTGGAGTGACTTTCATATCTTCCACCACTTGATTGTACGCATGCAGCAGTGATGTTCGCATGTTTGCTATTTCTATGATAGTATCCAGAGCTATGAACAGATTAAGCCACAGAAAATGTCAGAACATGATTAACACGAGGGGAAGTGAGGGATGTGCAATAAATTTTAATCCAGAAATGTCTGCACATATTCAGGATTTTCTTAAGGGACAGCATTGCTATGTGTTGGGACTATCCTTCACAGATAAAAACTTGAAGAATGAAAGAAATGAATGTCGTTACAACTTTGATCCTTGAAAACATGCGTGAACTTTAAAAAAAGGGTTAAGTTATTCACCTGTCTCATATGAAAGTTGGGCAGCACGAAGCTTTGGAGAAACCAGCATTCCAAACATAGATAGTGATTTGAGCCGCTCTCTCTGAGCCTAGAAGAACATAGTAAAAGTGAAGTGTTGATTCAATTATAACCAATTTAACTTACCAATTTTTAAAATTGGGAAACTCATCACCAACATCTAATGATTTCAAAAATTGGAAAAATAAATTCATATTGCCTCAACCAATACTATTGAAGCTGAATTTAGAAAATGTGAACAGTGCCTGGCTTAAATTTATGTTTGAATAGAGAGCTGATGCCTAACTGTAGGTTACACACCTTAAATAGTGTTGGACACAAGTTAAAGAAGAGCAATACTGGACAGAAAAGAGGTTAATTTACTTGGTCTCGCGGAGATCCATTACTTTCTTGCTTCTTCCCCTGAGCTTCTGGAGTAGAATACAAGTTATATTTCAGATGTCAAAAATCAAATAAACTTAAAAGATCATCACTAATAGATTCTTAGAATTCTCACTTTAAAGACTTGGCACACCAATTCTAGTAAATCAGTGAATAAGATGGAAAACAAAATACACAGTAATTACCAGAATCATCACCATGGTGCGTGGACTCTGGACTGTGAGATTTTCTATGCAACAGCTTGTCCTCATCATATTTACCTTCCTTGGGTGAGCTTTCTGGACTAGCAGAAGAAACCCACTTGCATAATCTGAAATGCACCTGCTCCATCCTGGATCCTGCTACATAAGAAATACCATCTTTAATAGTCAATCTGGACAATATGAGTTTGTCACTTCTAACTTCTAAGTGCATAATTTAAGGATGGAATAACAGTTCAACCTTCCAAATGATCAATTTCCAATGTAGTTGAGGCAGAATGTGGTTTGAGGTCAAGCAATGAGCTGTTGATGCGTGACGCACCCATAGAAAGTCGAGCACTAGCCAACTCCAGACATCCCTGCAACGGATACAATAGAGCCAAAGACGAAATCAGAAACGCAATATCCATGTTAAGAGCTATCATTTCACTCAATTAGCAACAAATAATACTTCATTCTCATACTTTAGTCACTTAATTTCACATAATCAACAAATTTAAACTAGAAATTCGCATCAAATGACAATCATTGCACACATACAGGTAGATCATTGTAGATACAAATCCAAACTAAGCGAATCTATTTCTGGATAGAAGAAACAAAAAATAAAATGTAAAAATCAAAATTAAGTGAAGGAATCTGTACCTGGCGAAGTGTTGAAGATAAAGTGTCCATGAGAATCAGATAGCTATCCAATGAATCGAGAAAATTTAATACTTTTGCGTCTTTTTCTACAATTCCTTCTTCTCCATCGTCAGAGATTTTCGTTTCCGTTTCATCCGCCATGGCCGGCATTGTGATTGTTGAGTTCTTCCCGGAGCCTCTAAATATCGGACGAAAACAAATGATAAAGCGACGTCGTATTATTCCTGTCAACAGCGAAATTAAACTGTATCTTAAATATAGGCCTGCTTGGCGACACCGATTTGGGCTTCATATCCATTATTTCACGGATCAAGATTGGGCCTTGGGTTTAATCCAGTCCACTAAAAATTTCTAAACAAGGGTGACAGCCAGGTGCCAATCGTTAGGCAAGGTGGACACGGTTCTATGTTCATAATTACTGAACCATATATTCATAATTATAAAGCTATATATTCATAATTATTAAACTCTATATTTTCAATTACAAAACTCTATCATAATTACTGAACTATATATTTATAATTATAAAGCTATATATTCATAATTTTTGAACTTCATATTCACAATTATTGAATCTCTATATTCATAATTACAAAACTATATGTTCATAATTATGTTCACAACACTATGTGCAATTATAGAATTATATGTTCATAATTTTTGAACTATATATTTATAATTATGAATAGATTTAGAACCGTGTCCACCTTGCAAGGTGGAAAGGTGGACACGATTCCACATCATAATTTGTCGACAATTTTCAATTGTTATATCAGGACCAAGGTTCATATTGCATTATGAATTTTTGTCCAAAAATTATGTGTCTGCAGTTAATACATTTTGTATATATAACTAACAATTTTTGTACTTATAAATAAATTGAAGACACATCGCAGACAAATAAATTGTTAAATGTATGTACATAATATGTAGTATCATTGACCAGGTTAACTAATAAGTAAAATTAAAATTTAAAAATATAATTTGTTTTTTAATATTAGTAGCGCGGGCTAAACTCGATCATATTTAAAAAATGATCATAAATCACAAGGAGATAAATATATTTAAATTGTGTATAGTTAATTGACTTAAACCAACAAGATTAATAGATAATAGATCATTTCTAAAAGATGAACCTAATACTTCAATACTAAGAATGTCATCGGTTAAAGCAAACGCCAATAATCCGGACAGAAAGGCCCGGAGAACAGCAAATTCAGAGCACCGCTTATCATTTTATCATGCTATCACGCCATTCTTGTTTCTTCATTTTTGTCTCTATGCATCTTCCGCTTACTATAAAAACCCCACTCCATTCTACTCTCCATTCATCCCACCATCAATAATTCTGGTCTAAAAGCAACAATGAATCGAGCAATAGTTTCGGCGGCGATCCTCACTATTGCGGCGGTGCTCGCGGCGCTGCGACCTGGCGAAGCCGTCGACTGCGGCCTGGTGGACTTCACAGTGGCCCCTTGCCTCGCCTATCTCCAAAACGGCGGCGATGCTCCCCCACAACAGTGCTGCGACGCCGTTAACACCCTGATCAGGATAACCCCGTCGCAGCAGGACAGGCAGGACGCCTGTGAATGTCTCAAGACCGCCGCCGCTACCTTCGGAATCAAGGCCGAGGTCGCCGCCGGTCTTCCCGGCAAATGTGGCGTTTCCATCACCATCCCCATCCGCCCCGACATCGACTGTCAAAGGTTAGTAATTACGTTAGATTTCTGTGTGATTAATTCATTTCACGTTTGTTAATTTGTGTTCTTCTTGAATTGCAGCATCGGTTGAGCGTTGAATTGAGTGCATGCATGGCGGCGGACAACCGGCCGGACTGAATAATCCGATGAGAAGCTTTGGATGGCTACTTGAAATAATCCGTTTTGTTCATCTTTTTTGTTTGCAATAAATTAAAGATTGAAGTGTGAATTCTGTGATATTGTACAAAGGTTTATAAGTATATCTATGAATCAAATTATGCGGTCCATTTTATATATGCCTCCGTCTTTCTTATTATGATAATCAATATTTACAAGCTAAGACATCAATTATATGCCTTATTATATTTTGGTATAGTTTATTTACATATATGGTATATTTATTAATCGTACGATATTAATGAATAAAAAATATTATTTTTGATCATCGACTACAGCTAGTATATGTATCAAATTTGTTTATTGACTATTAAACTTTTTAAATTAAATGTATGACTATGTAATTTGTATTACATTTGGTCCTTGACTATTAATATATTCAAATTAGTTGCATAACTTTATAATTTGTATCACATTTGATCATGCCGTTAAAATTTTGAGTCAAATTTTTGGCCAAGTAACTGGTGACCGGAAAATATTAATAGTCGAGGACCAAACGTGAAACACATTACATAATCATGCATGCACCTAATAATTTACAAATTTTAATAGTTAATGACCAAATTTGATACCTGTATTATAGTTACTTTGATGGAGCAAAAATTATATATATATATATATATATATATATATATATATATATATATATTATAATGAATAATAGTATATCATTCTCCATTTGAAAAAAAAAAAGGATTTTTTTTTTCAAAATTAAAAATTAAAAATGGTGGTTCAAACTTGAATTGTTAATTCGCGAAATTGAAATCAAATCTTCCTTATGACTACAAGATTTCAATTCCAACAAATCTCGAACTATGAGTTATTTGTTTAGAACTAAAATTGAACCGTGATAACCCATAGCCATCCCTACCCACAAGTAGCTAGGTTCGAATCAGAACCGTGCACTATACAATTAGAATCGAAACTGAACTGTCTGTACGATTATTGGTAAAATTTGTATAATAAAGAAACCAAAACCGTCAGTTTCGATTTAGAATCGGACCATTACGGTTTCAAACCGGAAAAAAAAAAAAAATTAATTGATAGTTGCAGGTCGCAGGCCTGCAGCATACTGTCTCACTACCTCATTGGGCATTGGACAGTGGGACGTGAGACGTCTCACGTCTGGCGCAAAGGCCAAAGAGGCAAAGACTAAACTTTGGTCTTTGCCTCTTTGGCCTTTGGTCTCATAATTTTTTTTTTTTTTAATAAATTCGGTTAGAAGCAGCGGTTCCAATTGGAATCGTCGATTCCGATTTGACTATCTATTTGTAGAATGAAAACTAGGGATGGCAACGGGACGGGGAGTATACTCCCCGACCTCGTCCCCGCGACCCCGTCCCCAACCCCGTCCCCGTCCCCGTCCCCTACGGGGAATTGAAAATATTCTCCATCCCCGTCCCCGCTGGGAATTAGGCGGGGACGGGGATTCCCCATTCCCCGTCAACTCCTAGTCAAAATATTATATAATTATAATTTTAAAGAATAAAACATTTAAAAACTATGTCCTAGTTTTAAAAATTAAAATGCTATATATATATATATATATATATATATATATATATATATATATATATTGTGTACTGCCTGTGTATATTATGTAGTACAGTGCATTAGAGGCACTTGACGACATTATATTAAAAATATATATAGTTGATTACATATGTAAATAGGATACTATACTACCAGTATTTACTTAAAATATATTCGGGGACGGGACGGGGAGGGGTATCCCCGTCCCCGTCCCCAGCGGGGAATCACACATATTCTCCGTCCCCGTCCCCGTTCCCCGAAAATTTTTCCCATCCCCGTCTTTGTCGGGGCGGGGATCGGGGATCCCCATCGAAAACGGGGCACATTGCCATCCCTAATGAAAACCGCGGTCACCCCTACCCACAAGCAACAACATAATAAATAAATCCTTAAAAATCAAGGTTGTGAACAGAGAGTCATTTAAAGTAAAAAAATTAAAAAAAAAAAATGACTAACCACTTAACCAGTATGATATCGATGCTGAATAAAATAGAACTATATTTAGCTACCAACAAATCAACAATTGTGTCGGACTGTCGGTTGAAATTATAATTTTCTGACTTTAAAAACATACTTCAAAATGTACGAACTCCATCCTATTTCAATATTAAAAATGTCATATGTTAAAATATACACGGTACGAATAATCCAAATTGATAAGAGGAAAAAGCAAATTTCGTTAAACTTTGAGAACACTTCTTATATATCTTAAAATCTTACATAGGAGTGGCGTAAACTTCATGTAAACTCAAATAGTTATCAGATATTTTAAATTATCAATTATTCTTTATAGGTTCGGTTCTGTGACCACCCATTTAGAAGGTTAACAAATGTGTCATCACACTATATAATAGTTGTTATATAAAAACTAGGGAGGGCTCATCGATCCTTAACCAAATGTGGATTAGATCATTAACTTTGGGTAGGGAGCAACCTTAAATATCCCGCCCAACTGTCGCATGCAATAAATGTGCCATATAAATTATATAGTTAGTTTTAAATGTATTTCATAATTGATAATATATTAATTTCCAATAGTCTCTTAGCTAATTATTATTATTTTGTATTATTTCTAGTTTGGTAGTATATAAAAAAATATAAATACACCAATAATATATAAAATATTAAAAAACTCAAAATCAATAAAAATAAAGTTTTGAGTGTATCTGAATTGACCCGGAATAACCCAAAAAAATTGCACCCGAACCAAACATATCCAAATTAAGGTGTAAAAATATCACACAAAATAAATTTTGAGTATCATCATCGAACGGAACCAACATACCACCCCTAATCTTTTTTTTTTTTTTTTTTTTTTTCTTTTCAAAGGACCACCCCTAATCTTTTTTTTTTCTTTTTTCTTTTCAAAAGACCATCCCTAATCTTAATTACTTCAAAATGTACAAGTCCCATCATACTTCAATATTAAGAATGGCCGGCATTCGTTAAAGCAACGTGAATAATCTAAACCGATAAGGAAAAAAAAGCAAGTTCAGTTGAACTTTGAGAACACCTGGCTTCATATATATCTCTAATTGATTTAAAATTTTACTTGAAAATGTACAAATCCCATCCTATTTTAATATTAAGGATGCCATCCCTTAAAACATATGTGAATAGTCCAAAATAAGCTAATTTAGGAAAAAAAAGTAAGTTCAATTCAACTTTGAGAACACCTCTTATATATTAAGAATGTCATACGTTAAAGTATATGCAAATAGTACGAAATAAGGGAGAAAAGTAAGTTCAATTCAACTTTGAGAACACCTCTTTTATATATATATATATATATATATATATATATATATATATTATTGATAAGATTTAAACTCATAACGTGTACCATAATCATACTTTAGTCATCCCATCACCCTTATAGGATTGCTTCATTTTTGTATGCATGTATCTCCCCCTTACTATAAATACCGTACTCCACACTACTGATCATTCATTCATCCCACCATTACTTCCTGTTCAACAAGCTAATTATAAGCTAAAGTTATATATATACCAAAATTAAAGCAACCATGAATCGGGCAATGGCTTCGGCGATCTTCATGGCGGCGGTGCTCGCCGCACTGCGGCTCGGGCAAGCCATGGACTGCCACACGGTGGACATATCCATTGCCTCTTGCCTCAGCTACCTCCAAGGCGGCGTCGCTCATCCTCCAATGGAGTGCTGTGACTCCTTCAGAAACCTGCTCAGATATACTCCGACGAAGCAAGATAGACAGACCGCCTGCGAATGTCTCAAAGTCATCGCCGCTAGACCCGACATCAAGGCCGACGTTGCCGTCTATCTTCCCCGGAGTTGTGGTCTTATCAGCAGTTTTACTATCAGCCGCGACATCAACTGTCAAAAGTTAGCAATCCGTTGCGTTAATACGTAGTACGTACGTAGAGGTTTGGGTTTGTTTTTACTTATGTGGTTTTGTGTTTCTTGCAGCGTCGTTTGAAGTTGAGGACTATAGCGGACTGTATACACTGATTCGATCGAGGGGAAGCTTTGGATAGTGGCCGCTTGAAATAATATATATGTTTTGTGTTTACAATAAAGATTGAAGTGTCACTTTTGTTACATATATAATAATGTTTAAAAGCTTATATGATGTTTCAATTCTATGAATAAAATTATCGGATCTATTTTATTATGAGCTGAGGTTGTTGATTTTTAAATGAATATTTTTTTGTTCCTTAATTATTTCTTTATATATCGGTATGATTAATTAATTATAAGGTTAACATATTTTGACCCACACCGGTAGCTTAGTTGGTTATCGAGTGACAGATTTGTTCCAAGAGCATGTGATCGAATCCTCACAACTATAGTATAGGAGTTCACCATTTCGTATCGGTTGCTCTTGTAAGCACCAAGCATGTCCCCCCGATCCCACCTAAGGAGCCACTATGTCATTGTGATTTATTACGCTTTCATAATTCTATATGGCAAGGGTATGGCCCCTTGGGGGATGAGTTTTCCCCTTTTTGCGCCAGTGAACCAATTTGGTTACTTAATTATCACATTAGCTGTAGATATAATATCATATTTTCAGTTACGACGTAAATAAATCTCAATTTTAACAGGAGCATAAAAATTTTGTTCATAATTATGTTCACAACTCTATGTTCATAATTATAGAACTATATATTCATAATTATGAACAGTTTTGGAACCGTGTCCACCTTTTCACAGCATAATTTGCCAACAATTTCCAATTGTTATTTCATGGACCAGTGTTCATATTGCATTATGAATTTTTGTCCAAAAATTATGTGTCTGCAGTGAATACATTTTGTATATATAATTAACAATTTTTGTACTTTTAACTAATAAGTAAAATTAAAATTTAAAAATATAATTTGTTTTTTAATATTAGTAGCGGCGGGCTAAACTCGATCATATTTAAAAAATGATTACAAGGAGATAAATATATTTAAGTTGTGTATGGTTGATTGACTTAAACCAACAAGCTAGGTTAATAGATAATAGACCATTTCTAAAAGGTGAACCTAATACTTCAATACTAAGAATGTCATCCGTTAAAGCAAACACGAATAATCCGGCCAGAAAGGCCCGGAGAACAGCAAATTCAGAGCACTACCGCTGATCATTTTATCATGCTATCACGCCATCTTGCTTAGCTTCTTCATTTTTGTCTGCGGATAGATAATGGGCACACAACAAATTAGTATCATGCAGACAATTTAATACACAATGACACACTAACATATATGTAAACATCAGATTTCGAACACAAACTCTATTAATTAACAAACCTACACAACTATATTCGGTCATGCACACGACATACAGACTAATGGCACACAACAACATATGTCCTCACAGTCCAATATATATATATATATATATATATATATATATATATATATATATATATATATATATATATATAGTTGATTTAAAATCGTACTTCAAAATGCACAAGTCTCGTCATACTATATTAAGAATGCCATTCGTTAAAGCATATGTGAATAATCCAAACCGATAAGGGAGAAAAGAAAGTTTAGTTCAACTTTTAAACCACCTCTTATATATATGTCATACTATATTAAGAATGCCATTCGTTAAAGTATATGTGAATAATCCAAACCCATAAGGGAGAAAAGAAAGTTTAGTTCAACTTTTAAATCACCTCTTATATATATATATAGATAAGATTTGAACTCATAACTTTTATCAAGAATCATACTTTACTCCCGGATCACCGGTTACTTCATTTTTGTATGCATGTATCTTCCCCTTGCTATAAATACCATACTCCATACTACTGATCATTCATCACACCATTACTTCCTATCCAACAAGCTAATTAATAAGCTAAAGTTATATACTAAAATTAAAGCAACCATGAATCCGGCGATGGCTCCGGTGATCTTCATAACGGCGGTGCTCGCCGCACTGCAGCTTGGCCAAGCCCTCAACTGCCACCAGGTGGACTTATACATTGACTCTTGCCTCGGCTACCTCCAAGGGGGCAGCGCTCATCCTCCAATGCCGTGCTGTGACTCCTTCAGAGACCTACTCAGGCAAACTCCGGCGCAGCAAGACAGGCAGGCCGCCTGCGAATGTCTCAAGGCCACCGCCGCTAGACCCGACATCAAGGCCGACGTTGCCGCCGTTCTTCCCAGGAGCTGTGGTCTTATCAGCAGTTTTACCATCAGCCGCGACATCAACTGTCAAAAGTTAGCAATCCGTTACGTTACTACTACATAGTACGTACGTAGAGTTTTGGATTTGTTTTTACTTATGTGGTTTTGTGGTTCTTGCAGCGTGCTTTGAAGTTGATGACTATAGCGGACTATATACTCCGATCCAATCGAGGGGAAGCTTTGGATAGCAAATAATATGTTTTGTGTTAAGTTTACAATAAAGATGATTGAAGTGTCACTTTTGTTACATAATGTATACAAGCTTATATGATGTTTCAGTTCTATGAATAAAATTATACGAACTATTTTATTATGAGGTTGTTAATTTTAAAATGAATATTTTTTCCTTCCTTAATTATTTCTTTAGATATTGATTAATTAATTAATTATAAGGTTAATATATTTGGACCCACACCGGTAGCTTAGTTAGTTATCGGGTGACAAATTTGTTCCAATAGCATGTGGTTGAATTCCGACAGTCGTAGTATGGACTTCACTATTTCGTATATATGGGTTGCTCCGTGTATGCACCAAGCATGTCCTCCCACCTAAGGAGCCACTATGTCATCGTGATTTTGGTTTCCACAATTCTGTAGGGCAAGGGTGTGGGCCTCTTGAGGGAGGAGTTTTCCCTTTTTGCGCCAATTCAAGGTGAATCAATTTGGTTACTTAAATATCACCTTAGCTGTAAATATCATATTTTTATTTAAAGCGTAAATAAATCTCAATTTCAATAGGATCATAAAAAAGAAAAATTGTTGATGTATTGTTCACAAAACAATAATAAAGGAAGGAGTTTTCCCTTTTTGCGCCAAGGTGAATCCATTTGGTTACTTAATTATATATCACATTGTCTGTAGATATCATATTTTCATTTACAACGTAAATAAATTTCAATTTCAACAGAAGCATAAAAAAATTGTTGATGTATTGTTAAGTTCGCAAAAAATAATAAAGGAAAAAGAAGGAAAAATGTTATGCATAATTAATAAAATATACATCTTTGAAATTGATTTAAACAAATATTTATTTGCTATACACAAATAAAAAGAGCATATTTATTTGTTGGGTAATCATAAACTCTTAATTTTGATTTATTGTGAAAATTTTTTTTGTGGTTATTTGTTTGACTAGAGTCATAATGCAAATTTCACCTATAGCACACTTTCAGGTAACAATGACAAACTTGCTTATAAATCAAAAAGTTTATTATCGAAATGGTCTCTCGACTATTGTGAAATTACCAATTTGGTCCTCGACCATTTTTCGTGCACAATTAAGTCATCGACTTTGAAAATATTAACTAATTTGGTCCTCCGTTTATTTTGCCGTTAAAAATCCGTTAACTCGGGGCTAAATTGGTAATTTTGCTATAGTCAAGGGACCATTTCGGTCATCACATGCACCATTCTTGCTGAAAGTTAATTACTGAAATGGTTACTTGACTATAGCAAAATTACCAATTTGGTCCCGATTTAATGGATGTCTAACGACAAAACAAACAGAGGATTAAAATGGTTAACATTTTCAAAGTCGAGGACTTAATTGGACACGAAAAATTATCAAGGATCAAATTGGTAATTTCGTAATAGTCGAGGGGCTATTTCGATAATAAACTCTAAATCAAAGGATCATAATTTAATATTTAAAATAATTGAGGGACCAAAGTGTAATTTTTTTGGAAAGGACAAATGTGGTTTTTTGTAAACCCCTTAAAATCAAGGTTGGGAACGGGGAGTCCATGGTAGCTTAGTTGGTATGATTAATTAATTATAAGGTGATCACGTTTGGGCCTGCACTAATAGTTTAATTGATTTTTAAGTGGTAAATCTACTCCAAGAACGTATGGTCGAATTCTAATAGTTGTAGTGTGGAAGTTCACCATTACGTATAGGTTTGCTCATTGTGAGCACCTAAGGAATCACTATTTTATCATTCTACAATTTTGTATGGCGAGGGTGTGGGCCTTTTGGGGAGGAGTTTTTTTTTTTTTTTTTTTTTTTTTTTTTTTTTTTTTGTCAAGGTGAACTATTTTGTTACTTAATTATCACATTAGTTGTAGACATCAAATTTTCATTTACGACGTAAATAAATCTCAATTTCAACATAAACATAACAAATTTGTTGATATATTGTTGACAAACAATAATGAAGGAAAAAGAAGAAAAAACGTTATGCATAATTGATAAAATATTCCTCTTTGAAATTGATTTAAACAAATATTTATTTCCTTTACACAAGTAAAAAAATTATATTTATTTGCTAGGTAATCATAAAATTTTAAATCTGATTTTTCATTTATTGTGATTATTTGTCAGACTATAACACATTTTAATATCTAAAATAATTGAGGGGCCAAAATATGATTTTTTTATTTTTGGCACAAGTGTCAAATAGATCCCTCTATTACTGCGAAGTGCTTAATTCTCACCACGAACTAAATTAAGTGTCAAATAGGCCTATCTACCAGTTAAATTTGTTCAATTGACATTTTTACAGGTTGCTAGCAGGTTGCCTATCTAATTATTAAAAATAAATAAATAAATAGAATAAAAAATTAAAAAAATATATAATAACCCAATCGAACCTTCAGATCTCTCCAAAAAAAAAATATAATAACCCAATATATATAATTTGCGTATCCAAAGTTCCATATAGTTTAACCTCAATTGAAACGGAAGAAGATTACTAAATACTAACCCAATCGAACCTTCAGATCTCTCAAATTCCTGTTTCAGTTCTTGAATTCGCCGCTTTCTTAGCAAACCAAAACTTGAGAGATTAAGCAAGAGCAGCAAATTTATTATTGCACAGCACAAAACATAACAAAAATGCCAAACCCTTATAGATCAATTAAACTACGCTTTCACTGAATTTTCCAATTCTCTGACAAATCAATCTTCAGTTACAGAGCCAAAGACATAATGCATACAAACAATTGAACCAACCTAAGCAAATGTGAAAGGGCAGACGGCGGTGGCTGATATTCTATTTTTCTTTTTAATTTTTATTCTATTTATTTATTTATTTATTTTTAATAATTAGATAGGCAACCTGCTAGTAACCTGTAAAAAATGCTAATTGAACAAACTTAACTGGTAGATAGACCTATTTGACACTTAATTTAGTTCATAGTGAGAATTGAACACTTCAAAGTAGTAGATGAATCTATTTGATACTTGTGCCTTTATTTTTTATTTTTCCTTTTAAAAGTTTTAAAAAACCCTTAAAATCAAGGTTGGGAACAGAGGGGTCGTGGATTGAAAGATTGTTAAAAACGTAGTCCGTAAAACACAACACCGTCTTGGCAAGTTTCCTTCGCACACGCTCTTGCCGTTGCACACTCTCTGCGTGTTTCACTCTCTTCCTCCTGCTCCTCCTCTTCCATTCTACGCTAGGGTTTAATCAACCCCTCACGTCTACTAGGGTTTAGCGAACATGGTGGCTGACCGCGGCAAGAAATCGAAGGTCGCCGATGTTGCTCCCGAGGAAGATTCCCGTCATATTGACCAGGACCTTATTCTCTCAATTGAAAAGCTCCAAGAGGTTCAGGATGAGCTCGAAAAGGTTCTCTTCTCACCGCTCTATAGGTTTCCGTTTATATTCATCTCTTTCCGCTCGTATCACCTGCAATTTGGTATCATTTGTACTGGTGAATTTCTGTCTTCAATTCTCCCTGTTAAATTTGTTAACGTAGAGGCTATACCTTACTACCTTAGTAATGATTCCTTAGGGATCGGGCATTGCAGCCTGAAAGAATGTAGCAACAGTGAAGATCGGGTGCAACAGTGAGAAAAGTCTTAAGTCATTTCTTGATTTTTGCATGCTTAGCCAACGATAACGACTATAATAAGGGGAGGAAATTATTTGGTTCATCATGTACGCCATCTAGAACATTATAATTATCTCTTAGTGTATATAGTCCAATATTGGTTCACCATGTACTTGTTATAGAAATTATTTGGTTCGTCAAGTTGTCCTTCTAAGAGTGTATATAGTGCATAACCAGTTTATTAGAATGTTGAGTGAAATCTATTGTTATGATATCTTGAGTGCTAAACACTTGTTACCTGTGTGATGGTTGTGGCCAATTTTGTGATCATATCTTGTGGCTATTCTTGTGCTTCCAAGGGGTAAGTATTTTATCTAGACCATGTATGCTTAACAGCTTAAGCCTAGCAATGGTTGTGAGGGTAGGAAAGGAAATGGGGATTGGGGATATTAGTACTAGTATGCTTGTGTGCACGAATGCATAAATGCATATGCTCCTGATATAAAAAATTATATATCCAAATTTATCCTTGTTTAATGTATTTGCTACTTTGTTGGTTCATTAGTTGGCCAATATCCTAGCTTTTCTTGCTGTATCTGTCAGCTGAATGGGCTGAGGTAAGCTGTAGTTTGGCGTTAGTGCTATTTCCTTTCACTTAAAAAATTAAATATAGAGTAAACATTTTATGTTTCTTTGTATATTTACATTAAAACCTTCTAAAATCCAAGTACATAGCCAACCATTTGCCAATTAGGACGGTTCCTATTCATACAAGCCAAAAGTTTTGGCCTAGTAATAAATGCAGTGAGAGACTTACACTATGTCTGATTTTTATAGGATCTTTAGCTCCATGTGCTACTGCTACCATCTTAATTGTGTCTGATCTATATAGTATACTTAGTTCCATATGCTATTGCTGACTTCCTAATTATGTCTGGTATTTATAGGATCCTTAGTTCCATATGCTATTGCTAATGTCTTAATGAGGCACTTTTCCAAGGGAAGGGAAACACCTTGTGTCCTTGTTGGTTAGAAGCTCCTTTCGATGTGTGTATCTACATTCCCTATCCTTTTCTGCTTAGTTAGTCTTATAATCTAATTACAGAAATAAAACTACTCACTCAAGACACATGTTGAAACCACACTTAGACTTTGATGGCTGAGGCTATCGTGTTTGAATTTTTTTAGACTCTAACAGATAAGTGGATAACAATGACTAAGAATTTGATTCACATACTGATTTTAAACAGATCTGGGGCTTGATTCATACAGATTTGCCAGACTTGATTACTAAGAAGTTTTCACCTATAAATTGAGATTTGAGACCATTTACTCTTATATGCAAGCTTGACTGATCTAGTTCATGTGATTACATTTCAAGTATTATTCTTGACATTTACATATCACTTCTTAACTAAAGTTTTATGTGCTATACTTTGTCATCATGTGGGATTAATGCATGATTAAATTCTTATTGTTTGCAAAACCTTAATTATTTTGGTTAATTTCTGAATGTGAAGCCAGATGCATTTCCAGGTTTGTGGTAGTCATCGTTTTCTATGATCTGTTTGACTTACCAGATATACCTATTTCAATTCATGTATCTTAAGGACATTAACAAATGTATCATATATCTCTAAGTAGATGAAGTATACGAGTAATTGGGATTTGGGATCATGGGGTTCATGCAATAAGTGGCTTAGTGCATATGGCATACATCAAGTTGGATGGATTGGACTATACACATTAAGTTTGCATATTGCTCTCTTAGTTTAACTATCTCAATTAATTTACCTATTTGCATGTGTAATTTAATTTGTTTTTCAATCTTGACTGGCGCTATGTAGGTGAATGAACAAGCCAGTGATGAGGTATTGGAAGTTGAACAGAAGTATAATGAGATAAGAAGGCCTGTTTATGATAAACGAAATGAAGTAATCAAATCCATTCCTGACTTTTGGTTGACTGCTGTGAGTCCAGACCATTCTATTTTGCTTTCAAATGGTATATTAATGGGTCAACATTGAATTGAGGGATCTGATTATTCTCCTCTGCTCTATTCTCTATGCAGTTCCTGAGTCACCCTGCACTTGGTGATCTTTTGAGTGAGGAAGACCAGAAGGTTTGCTGTTTGCATAACTACTGGAAATCTTAACTTTTTAGATCTTGATCTTCTGAATTGAGATGTTCCATCCATTTTATAGATCATGGCTTGTTATGAATTTGTGTGCCCTGTTTTTGTGGTTTTGATTGCTCTAATAAGATCTTGTTATGTGTGGATAGTGTTGCCTCTTCTTCACATCATAAGCCAGACTTCGAAGTAATACTGTCATTTTCTTCTTCCCTGACCCAGATCTTCAAGTATTTTGATTCTCTAAATGTGGAGGATTTCAAGGATGTGACCTCTGGTTACTCCATAACATTTGTAAGTTGCTTATAGAATGCACTAGCTCTCTATGAAGGTGAATTCTAGATATTCATAAATAATTTTATTGAGTTCTTAACTTTCAATTGCCTTGACAAAAATTTCCAGAACTTCAAGCCAAACCCCTATTTTGAAGATGCAAAACTTGTTAAGACTTATACCTTCCTGGAGGAAGGAACAACACAGATAACTGGTACAGACATTAAGTGGAAGGAAGGCATGGTAATGATTACAGCTGTACAATTTGTTCTCTGTTAGAAACTCTCTTTTTGATGTAAAAATATTCTCTTTGATATAAATTGAACATTTCTAAATGGAAGGGCATTGCTAATGGAGGTGGTGATCATGAGAAGAAAGGAAACAAACGCCCACCATCTGAAGAGAGGTACCTGTCACTCAAATTTCTTGCAAATTATAACTGATCATAAATGCTAGAGATGAATAGTCCAGTTTGAAATATGTGACTGTTTCAGATGCACCTGAAACATTAGAAAGAACAATTTATACCAAAGGATTTTTTATGTGAATTTATTTACCATTTCTTGTATCAACTTAGTTGTTAATCACACAAGATCTTGAACCTATTTTCTGAACTGGTAGTCAAAATTTGAGGACCAATGAGATGTGTCGTAACTGTAAGAGTAGTGTTGGCAATGAATTCTAAACAAAAACTGCTGTGCATGCAAGTTATAAATAGTGTTATGCATATGTTAGCCCTGGTATTGACGTTTGACATGACTTGGAAGTATAAGATGGAGCTGTTTCCCTAATTCTTCCGCATAGAGATAGTTCAGGTCTATTGTTCTAGAGATTCATTATATTTTGTGTGACTTTTGCTTATGCAGCTTTTTTACTTGGTTCACTGAAACACAACAGAAAGATATTGCTGAGGGGTTCACTGATGAGGTAAATTCCATATCTGAAGCCATTTTCATATATGGTTCCATTTATTCAGATCTTTCTACTTAATGAAGATGTTGAACTGATAAAGAACCCTGAGATCTTTAATGATTTGTAAGTAATGCATTTTACAACTTGACTGGCAGGTGGCAGACATCATTAAGGAGGACCTATGGCCCAATCCTTTAAAATATTTTAATAATGTAAGCCTTAACTCTTCTGCATCCACTTTTCAATTATTCTCCACCTGTTTATTTGAGCTAAGAGGAACTATGTAAATGTTGTTGTAGGAAGCTGACGAAGAAGATTCTGACGGAGATGAGGATGATGATGAGGTAAGTAAAGATGAGATAGAAAACCTTGAGTCTTCGTAGTTGATTGTACTTGACTGCAGTTACTCTAGTGTAGGAATAAGGGGAGAGTGGAGGATAGAAATTAGTCTGGATTGACTAATATTCACTATGAGTGGATTTTTAAAAACCATATCCTTTGTCAATTCTGATATGCCAATCATGGCTCATAAAGCTATCATTACAATATTTTAGGGCCTGAACGTTTTTTTTTTTTTTGGGGAGTTTCTTTTAACACCTTGATCATTGTGGAGCAGGGGAAGGATGGAGAGGATGGGGATGAAGAAGAAGACGATGAAGACTGAGTTGAATCATCTCCTGCCACTTACGGTCCCCATTGCACACGTTTATTGCAATGTTGAAACCATGATTATCATTTATTGCATACTCATTGGAAGTTTCAACCTTGTCTCGAATTATTAGCAGCTATCTGTCTTGTAGCTAGGAAGATTAATACCTATGGTGATATATAAAGTGGTTCCTGTATCCCATGTCTTGTGTCGCATCCTGGACATGCGATGCTTATTCATTTTGATGTTTATGTCTTTAAGTCTTATAGGTCGCATTGTTGTCAGTCTATTCATTTTGTGAAAGGTGACCAGTTTGTGCGTTTACCCAACCTCATAAATAGCTAGCGCAACCTTATCAAACCAGCTCCTTTGAATACTCTTCCCATCGTCTTATATGTTTAATATGTGAAATTACTAAAAAATTGTTAGTTCCGTAATTGATATGTGAATAAAATTAGGCCTGACCTAAGATATGTACAAAAAACATAAATTGAATCAAATGTCAGTCAGGAAAGAAAAGATTTAAGAACACATTTAACATACAATTCTAGCACTAGGGGACCCAGGGACCTATGAAGGAACACAGTTGCAGAGTTCCTTTATCAAGCCAGGTATCGATACAGCTTCCTATCTGTTTTATCTCTTTCCAAGAATTCCCGTTCTATCAGAGACTCAATTCGTTTCTTTATAACAACAGGATTTGGCAAGAAGCGAGATTGTAGCTGCTTTGTCACTTCAGTTACGATATTGTTATGATCAAGCACCCTCCGCGACTTCATGATTCTCACTATTGCTGCCTCAATCTGGGGTTTTCTATCCTCTTCTACTCTTTGTCGAGTCTCTTGTTTCTCTGGCTCGGACTCCTTTTGTGCGACAACAGTACCTATCTTTACCTTGTAGAACTTGCTCGTGAATTTGTCATTGAAGAAAAAGGCATCGTCTTCAGTGATGTCCTTGCTCATGGGATCTTTCCGCAAAATATTCTTTCCCTTGACACACGCTAGAGATTGCAGGCACCTCTTTAAATCTGCGGCAGGGATTTCTGTAGCCTGGACTATGTCTTTATAACTCAACCCATCAGCATTATTGAAGAGCATAAGGATGCACATTTGATATGTGGAAACATTAAACTCGTGCTTCTGGCCCTTCCCAAATGTTGCCTTCAAATCAGCTGTGCCCATATTTGTCTGCCAGGTCAACCTCCTCCCTGTATGAGTTCCAAGGTAGTATGTCTTGAACTTTTCACACACAACAAGAATTTCAAGAGGAAGATTGCACGGGGAAACAGATTGTGTTGGCCAGGACCCAGTTGTAAGGATCTGGACCGTTAGAGTAGGACCATCAGCTATTTCAGCTCCCATAGAAGCATGAAAGTCCTGCATTGTATCCTGTGAAGTCCTCATGTCATTAAACATTCCTTCCAGCTTTGATGTGAATTGGTACCCACATTCTGTTTTGAGCTTAACTATCAAACTTCTCTCTGCGTCATCAGAGACAGTCTTTCCTGAAAGTAGCCTCTTAGCAAGGTGCTGTTTGTAGTACTTCTCAAAAACATCTTTGTCCTGAAGGTGGCGGAAAAGCATCATCACTTTATCCAATACAATCTCTACATCCTCCTCGCTGACCCCTTTCAACCCTTTCCGAAGCTTGTCATCCACAAAGAGAGAGATAAACTCTGGAGTTCTTGGATTCAAATTAATAAAATACTCGAATGAAGAATTTAGAGCATTCTGGAATGTTTTGTCATTGTTAAATGCCTTGTTTATAATATTGTCATGTTTATCCTTCTCATCCAAAAGCCTTTGTACAAAGTCTACAGGATCCTTCAACTTTTCTGGATCAGTAACAAGCTGCTTACCAACTTCTCTGATGTGAGAAGTCATGACATCTTTAATTAGTGAGGGTCCATTTGGTACTCTTCGAAACAAGTTGTACATCCTTCCCAAATCATCATACTTATCATCTAAAATCATATTCACCAAGCCTGAGTTTTCCATGTGAACTAATCTGTACATATGACTTTCAATCATCTCCTTTTCCACCACTTTAGTTATGTTAGCTTCACTTCTTACATCCAAATAATGGGAAACTCTTTCGATCTCTTCATTAAGGCGTTTCTCAGCTTTCCTTAGATAATCCCCACAATCACAGGACTCAATGAATTGCTGAGACTCAACACGATAAAAATCACCTGAAACCTCAAGCAAAGGCTTCTCAAAGTCTTCTTGGTAAACAAAAGAACCCAAATCCATCAGCATTTTTATTACATTCCTCATCAAGCCCCGATTTATCACTTCACCATTCCGCTCTTGTTGCACGAGTTCAAGAAGCGTATCCTGAAGCCTTGCTTGGATTTTGCTAGAGTGGATAACATTTTCTCTCCACAAATTCAGGCCAAGCTCATGAACTGGTGTTTTGTGTGTACTTGGAATGAAAGTTCTATCCATGTACATTAGTATGTCTCGGATCATTTGCAATGCCTTGTTATGATCTCTCCATTTCCGGTTCAGCTCTTCCAAGAATAAACCTCCCTGTGCTGTCTCTATCAACTTGGCAATTTCTCTCAAATGTGATGTCATAGTTGACACGAGTCCAGAGTAGAGCTTCTCTCCAAATTTATGTAGGACCATATTGTATGCATTCCTGAACATAATTATAAAAACAACAGAGCAGGATAATGGATAAGAAACCATGCCAACATCAGATGATCAAGAAGTTCAATGAAAATCTGTGCCATGAAATATGGGTAAGTTAGAAGGTAAAACTATCCCGGCACTAGGCAGTAAACTGTCATCTTTGAAGATTCAAAAGATTTAAAAACTAAGCACATTAGAGTCACAAAACCAACCATCCACAACACAATAAAAATAAAATGATTGTCTTAACTTTAGTACAAAAGGGGTAAAAAAATATATTGTATATCTCAATACAACGATTCTATCATATTATTGGGCAAACAAACCGTCAAAAATTCAGTCTTTGTTGCTTAAGTCATGCAAAACGAAGTCAGCAAGGCATGGGCAAAGGCGATCAGATAAAAGAGCAGCCAATACACAAAATCCTAAGACACAAGGTTGTAATCAAGTATAATGCCCAGATTTCAAATACTTAGGTTCACGTATCGAATTCTATATGCCTTGTTGACATGGAGAAGTTCTTGCAGATAGAATTCATCACTCATCAGGCATTAGACATATGACTGAAACAAACCAGTCTGGATTCTGCATCAGCCAAAACATTTATATCTAATATCTTCACATACCGAATATAATTTATTATTCAAATTCCAACTTGCCTGTAATCTGCCTAAACTAAGGTATAATGCAAATGAAATTCAAAGTATAGTACTTTATACCAACAAATGGAGGAAGAATTCAACAACACAAGAGTTCAAGTAGTCGAAGCTGAAGACTACTTACTAGTTCACGTTTCATACATCAACCACAGTATGAAATCAGCTTAATAACAAGTGATAGACAAATGAATACGGAGTAAATGAATTCAAAGCATAAGCTGAATCGAACCTATAAAGCTCTTCGAAGCTGAGACCACTAGCGTTATGGTTGTAAATCTCATGAATCGCATGTTCGAGGATCTTCCAAGTTTTCTCTGCATATTTCGGATCAACCACGACCCGATGCTTATACGCCTCTATCTGGATGTTTCTCTTCTTCGGCGCACTCATTTCCTCAGCTCAAACTCACCGCCGCGTCGAAATTGAGCTCCCAAGTCCCAACTCCGGACCTATACGCCGCCGGAAACCAGATTATAATTCAACCTCCACCGCCGGAGTCCTGAATTTCGCTGTAAGATTTCTGTCCGCTTAGGGCTTTTCTGCAACCCGTGAAGCTGAATTAGGGCTTGGAATATTCCTTCACTCGGCGTAGAGAAAGCAGAAGCTGTTTGCTTAAAGGTTTGATTCAGAGTTTCTTCTACGTAGCTCTCACCGAATTGCAGCTTCTCTTTCCCTTATATTTTCTCAATCTCTTTCATTTTCTGTCACTGGTTTTTCCTGTCCGCCAAAACGCAATTTACATCATGGACCAGGGTTCGAGTTATATTGTGGATTTGTGGACCCCGTACCAAAATACATAATTTTAAATCTGATTTAGTTAGAAAATTTATTATATTCAATAAATATAGAACTTCACAACTTAAAGATACAAAAATTCATAATATTAAGGCTATCCTTATCCCAAAAATTTCTCTCACTTTTTAAAATGGGTCCCATTTCCACATCATCAATTTTGTATATAATAAAATAATATTAAAAGAAATAATAAAAATAAAAAAGACATAAAAAGTTGTGCAGTTGTCCTTTTGCAGCTTTTTCTTTCATTAGCAAATTCTCTCTCCTATTTCTATTTTAGCAATTCTCTCTCCAATTTCAATACACATCAGTATCAAAAAAGAATAAAAAAATGTATTCTCTCTCTTCCATGTCATTTAGAAAGGGGTAAAATTTATGGGATGGGGTTAGCCTAAGACACGACTATTATGGCCCGTTTGGTTCACGGAATAGGCCGGGAATGGCATAGCATTCCCAGTAATAAGCCTATTCCGTTGTTTGGTAACCATTTATATTACCAGGAATAATATTCCTGGTAATAGCCTATTACCTCAAATAAGGTAATAGCTATTAGGGCCCCCTTGGTATTAGCCTATTACTGAACGTTCAGGAATAGATTTTAGAATCTATTTCCTTTTTTACCCCTTTCTTTAACCTAATTTTATTATCCTATATATAAATTTATCCTATTTCACCACCGTCATCGCCGCCACCACCATCGCCGCCGCCGCCACCACCACCATCGCCACAACCGTCACCGCCCCAACCACTGCCACTGCCACCACCACCACTACCACTGCCACCACCACCATCACCACCACCGCCACCACCATCGCCGCCGCCGCCACCACCACCACCGCCACCAGAACCACCACCTAGCAGCACCACCGCCACCACCACCACCACCACCGCCGCCCCCACCACCACTGCCACAACCATCATCGTCAACCGTCACCGTCACCACCACCACTGTCGCCCCCACAACTGCCACCGCCACCGCCACCACCACCACTACCACCCCAGCACCACCACTACCGCCACCGCCACCACCACCACCACTACCACCACCGCCGTCGTCCACACCACTGCCACCGCCACTACCACCACCGCCACCGCCACCAGAACCACCACCCAGCAGCACCACCGCCACCACCACCACCACTACCATCACCACCGCCACCACCACCACCACCACCACCACCACCACCATCGCCACCATCACATATTTTTATAAGGGTATTTATGCCTTTTAAAGCATATTTCATTTCTATTCCTTAAATCAACCAAACACTGTAATATAATTCCTAAAGTCTATTCCTTCCGCGAACCAAACAATAGAATACAATTCATATTCTATTCCTTGCCTATTCCATTCCTTATGGAATAGCATTCCTATTACCTCAAAATTCATTCTGTGAACCAAACGTGCTGTTAATTTATTTCATATACAGAATTCATATACAATTTCATAACACAATATACAAAAACTGACAACATAAGATACATATACATGCACCAAAGTCCACAGTACACTGTTGATCTATGGTATAAGGATTGTTCGCCAAACGATACCCACGACCAACTACAATAGCGTGTTATTGTACGCCACGTACATATCAAGGCCCACAAATTATACTATCAATCAAGATGTAATGTGAGTTATGAGTAGATATTTATTTTTAATATATTGAAAGTTTAATTGTAATTTACTAAAAATTTATTTTTAAGTAAATTCATTATATAGAAAATGAACCTTTAAAATATAATATCCAATGTATTAATAATAAATTTTTAATATATTAAAAATAAATTTTATATCAATTATTCACCTTACGAAGTGGACCATGGTCTATGGTCGACCTCATATCGAGGGTTGTGATTGATCCAACAGCCCATACGGATATTGAGGCCCAGATGAAGTTTTGCAGCCCAATCCCACTAAAAATCAGCCCAGAATGCCTTAGTCCTGTAAACAAATTCAATGCATATCAGCCCAATAACTAGAACAGTTGGTTGTAGTAAATTATAATGTCGACCATGATAAATGTTACGGAGTACTTTTTAGTATATTGTATGTTCATTTATTGTAGATTTAAGGTTTATTATTTAGTATTGTATCAAATAATGAACTTGAGTATACAAAAAAAATAAATATTCAATATATTAAAAATGAATATTCAATATACTAAAAATATAGGTTCATTTTTAATACATCGAATGTTTATTTTTTGAACTATAGTTCATAGTATAATGATTGTTGTGAACCAATCGTTATGCGTTGGACCCGTGTCCAGCATGCTTGCTAGACACGGGTAACAGTGCCGTTAGGCACTGTTATCTCCTTTTTCTTCTTTTTTTTTTTTAAAATTTCAGAGCGCTTCATTGTAAGAGTATATATATTCATAATTTTATTACTATATGTTAATAACTATACATTCATAACTCCATCACTGTACGTTCATAACTCTATAACAGTACATTCATAACTCCATAACTGTACATTCATAACTCCATAACTGTACATTCATAACTCCATAATTGTACATTCATAATTTTCGAAGCTCTATGTTCACAATTTTAGAGCTCTATGTTCATAATTTTATCACTATATGTTCATAATTGTAAGTTCATAATGTTAGAGCTCTTTGTTCATAATTTGATCAATAACTGTACATTCATAATTCCATACTGTAGATTCATAATCTCATAACTGTAGATTCATAACTCTATAACTGTACATTCATAACTCCATAACTGTACATTCATAATCTTCGAAGCTCTATATTCACAATTTTAAAGCTCCATGGTCATAATTTTATCACTATATATGTTCATAATTGTAAGTTCATAATGTTAGAGCTCTGTGTTCATAATTTCATAATTTCATAACTGTATATTCATAACGGCATAACTGTACATTCATAACGGCATAACTGTACATTCATAATCCAAAAAAAAAAAATTAACGCCATTAACGTCAAAACGCGCGCGAATTTTTTTTTTTTTTTTTAACTAAATGACGCGTTTTTTTTAAAAAAACGATGTCGTTTTGGGCCCGTGTCCACAATTCAATGTGGACACGGGTCCAGGGCATAATTTGCCGTTGTGAACCCGACCTCATATCGATGATTGTGATTGATCCAAGAACCCACAAGGATATGCAGGCCCAGAGGAAGTTTTGCAGCCCAAGCCCATTCATAATCAGCCCAAAGGCCTTAGTCCTGTAAACGAATTCAATGCATATCAGCCCAATAACTAGAACGGGCAAATTATGCTGTGCAACCGTGTGTACCATGTTCTAAAGTGTAGATTCATAATTTATATACTATAGATTCATAATTATTGAACTTTATATTCACAATTACAAAACTCTATGTTCATAATTTTCAATGTTCATATTCCCAATTCTTGAACTTTGTATTCACAAATCACTGAACTATATGTTCATAATTTGATAACTACACAGTTTAGAAATTATTAAGGAAAAATGGTCAAATAGGCTATCGAACTACACAAGGAAATGCAATTAAGCCACTGAACTCAAAAAGAATGCAATTGGGCTACTGAACTCAAAAAGAATGCAATTGGGCCACTGAATAGCGTAAAATGTTGCAATTCGACCAAAAATGACCTTTTTACTTGTTAACTTGCTGATGTGGAGGTTATCACTTAAAAATAATAATTTTTTTTTATTTTATTATAATAATTTAAAATAGCAAAAATTTATATATAAAAAAAAAAACAGGTTTGCCGCCGGAGACGAAGAACCAATCTTCGTCTCCGGCAGCCTGGTCTTCGTCTCCGACCGGGGACGAAGAGCTCTTCCTGGCCGGAGATTCTTCGTCTCCATGCCGGAAACGAACCTCTTCGTCTCCGGTAACCTGGAGACGAAGGGACCTCTTCGTGTCCCTTCGTCTCCAGGCTGCCGGAGACGAAGAGTTCGTCTTCGGCATGGAGACGAAGAACCTTCGAAGAACCTTCTTCGTCTCCAGGCTGATTCTTCGTCTCCGGCACCGGAGACGAAGACTTAAAATCCGTTTTTTTTTTTTTTTTTTAAATTTAGTTTTGTTATTTTAAATTATTAAAATAAAATTAAAAAATATTATTTTAATATGGTAACCTACTCATTAGGTAAACAAGTCATTTGGCTTAATTGTAACATTTTGTGTTGTTGAGGGACCCAATTGCATTTTTTTTGAGTTCAATGGCCTGATTGCATTTTTGTGTGTAGTTCGATGACCTATTTGATCCTTATTCCAATTATTAATATACAGTATAGAAATTATGAATATATAGTATATAAATTATAGATTAAATTCTGTGTGCACTTTGCATGGTGTACACGGTTGCACAGCATAACTCTCCCTAGAACAGTTACTAGTCAATAGTTATTGCATGGACAGTGGATCACGATCCAAAAGCGATGGCATTTCACGTTAAAAAAAAAAAAAATTCACTCGACCCACAACAACATATATTTTATAATTCATAATATATATTATTTTAACTCATAAAATACATTATCTTAATCAAACAATTTTATTATTCTAATACATTAAATTTTATGACGTCATTTTAGACCGTGGTCTCACATGTAAACATCGGACCACAATACACAATAATTTGCCGTTACTAGTCGTTTCGGCTTGCTCACGGCACGTGACGGCCTCAAATGGTGGAATCTAATGCCTGAAAGAATCGGGTGCTCGCCACACGCCGCCGCGTGGTTCGGGCACTCCGCCCTCTCATGGCTTTCTGTCCGTCTGCATTAATAATTATGGATAAGGCATATAAAAATGGTAGCAAACACCTCTGCCAGCTTTCCTCCGTCGTCTCCCAATCTCGCCAGGTATGTGGTCACAATGCCACCTGAATATACCGCTTGCACAAACTGAATCAAACTGTTTTGATCCATATCGCCTTTTGAATTGCGAGTTTCCGGTCCTTAATAGGATCAATATCAAACAAGTTCATTTTGATTCTAAGCGTAGTCTGAAATTTCTGAGATTGTTAATATTATTAGGTTTTGGAATCTGGTTGATTGGCGTATACTCAGAGAATGGCTAGTGAAGCTTCTACTCCTGTTAACGATTGCGCTGTTCATGTTTTCAGCAGGTTAGTCTAGCTATTTCTATTCTTCATCATTTCCTTCTGGACTAAAATTGCAAAATGTACTATGAATTTCATGTTCATGAAAATTGGCATAATTGTGCAATGGAGTTTTTTTTTTTTTTTTTTTTTTTTTTTTTTTTTTTTGAGTGAATGTTTTACTCCTATTATTGATAACTGTGATTTGTTATACTCAATCTTCCACTTTTGATGATAATTTGCTGGTGGGTAATCTGTTTATGGTTCAGCTCCAGAAAAAGAAAACATGATAAAGCTCCTAGAAACCACGAGGCTGAGAGGGAGCCAAGCAATAAAGTTCCTAGAAAAATCCACAAGGCCGAGAGGGAGAAACAGAAGCGTGATAATATGAATGTGCTATTTGCAGAGCTAGCCAACGTTTTGGGTATTCCTCCACCTTCTTCTTTCTTATGCCAAGTATAGAACTTTGCTGCAACTTGATATTCTTTGTTCGGCATACTAATTGTACATTTGCACTTATAACTTTGCCTTTTAGCAGATCCATCTCATCAGAATTATGGAAAGGCTTGCATATTAAAAGAAACGATGCGGTTAGTGAGGGAACTAATTGTGCAGGTTGATAATCTCAGAAAGGAGAACGTTGCTCTTAATTCAGAATCTCATTACGTAAGGACATCACTTCTTTATTGAAGAAAGTACTCTGTTTACTGAACTAGAATGGCCTTTTTTCACTAGCTCACTCAACACAGAATCATGGCTTGCAAGTTGCAATTGTATAAGCTATACATATATGCATTTCTGCTTTCTTTATAAGTGGTACATATCATGATATCAAGCCTGATTTTAGCGTAGAAAACTATGGTAGTTTTCCTGTGGATATCAATGTCATCACCTATTGATCTTTTGAAGTGGTGTATTAGTGTATATATGGTTGAAATAAATCTAGATTTCGCTTAATTATTCTTCTGTTTTTGGACTTACATATCATGGTACATTGTACCTGTTTGCTCATTTCTGCTAATGCTATATGAACAGATGATTGTTGAGAAGGATGAGCTTAAAGAAGAAAAAATTGCGTTGGAAGTCCAGATTGAGAACCTGCTGACTAAAATAAACGAAACAATTCGTTCCCAAACTACCAACATTACTTCTCCGCCACAGCTGACAGAGGACCATCTTAGAACAAGTATACATGATTATGCATCATCCTCAGCTGCAGCTACCGGGCCCGTTTTGGTTGTGCCATTACACAATGACCTTCAAATGTACAGCACGGCTGACAACCCCGAGGCTTTGCAGAACCTCCCACCCAGTGTGAGTAGACCTCGCCCTCGATACCCATCACCCTCGGATTCATGGCCATCTCGTGTGCTCAACGTGGCATCAAGCACAACAGAGGATTCTTAGGTAATTCAGTATTAGAATTTAGGACCAGACTGTTGCATGAGCTATTACCATCATCACAGTGACCCTGCAATGCACTCCATGTGTAGTTGATTGTTCGTCTCAGGAATGTCTAATTGCTCAACTTATTAGTGTAAATGTGGTTATCGTTCTTGATTTCTTTCGGTTTTAATTGGGTTGCTTTCTTTATTGGCTGTGCCGTTGTGTTTCCTGGACATTTGGGGCAATATTGCACCCTCTTAAGTCAAATAGGCCACTCAACTGCATACCAAAGTGCAATTAGGTCAGTGCAAACCAAAGTGCAAGCCATCGAACGTAAAAACAATGCAATTAGATCCTTGAACAACACAAAATCATGCAATCTTGCAAGGTGAACACGGTTCTACAACATTATTTGCCATCCACTAATGCCCAATTTCAATCCAAGTTTATTCGATCCAACTCAACTTTAAACACTAAACTTATTGTTACAAACCAATATCAAATTTGGACCGTATTTACTATTTGGAAAATACTTGGTGTACTCCCATTTTATACTTCCAACTTGTACTCTTTCTCACATGGTCTTGATGTAGACACTTTTTTGTGGACCCACATGTTGAAAATAACCAATCTTGATTTGCCACCTCAGGAAGTACAAATGAGGGAGTAGAATTTGGGAGTCCATGTAGTAGAACTCTTACTATTTAGTGTTACTTTTATCGGATTTATATTACATATTTAAGCCATTTGGTAGATATCGCGAGCACGATGTTGCGTATTGGAAAAGGTTATACAAGTTAAGTACACTACATTATTTACAAAGCCGGGGCATCAGCCACGTGTTCAGTTATGATTTCATCATCGAACAGAAGATATGGGCAGTATATCTGAAAATTAGGCCGAAAGTTTGTAGATCCGGGGATTAAGTACCTGAAAAACGTGCCACCTGTTCCCGGACCAGTCTTGCAAGCCAAAACTCTGACGTGGCCAATTATCTCAGGCTGGTTAGCTGGTAGGTGACCCCATCTGCCACCTGGATTCCATAATTGTTTTCCGCCTGCCATGTGGACTCCATTATTCTTTGCTTAATTGTCTTGGCCGCCAACTGGCAGGTTTGACGTGGACACTCCGCCAATAACCCCTTTCCACGTACACTACGAATTGTCATTATTTTAGTTAAACACCACTAATCTGTCCTCCCCATTCTAAACGAAAAAAAAAAAAAAATCTATGGTCCACCTTCGCATTAAAAATCTACCATATGCTGACAAAGCAAAATTAATAATTGGCGAAATAATATATTATGTGATAACCTGCTGTTGGAGGATGAAAATAAAGAAGCAGAAAAGCTTAGTATAGGGAGATTATTGTCATTCCATATTGTCATTCCATATCCTTCCTTCTTTCGTTTGTAACCTGTCCATACATTCACCTTGTGTATATAAACCAACATGTAAAGCTATGCAGTTAACTTCAATATACAATCTTCTTCTTCTCCAATCTGCTCGCTTCTCAGATGTAGTCCATATTCCAACACCTGCATTGTAAGTAGTGCTTGCAGACTAATCACATCTGTCTATCTAGAAATTTAAGGTGATGATAACTGAAAAATAAGTAAAATAAACACTTGATAGTACATTTGCAGTCACAAATATCATATCAAATAATATGCGAAACAACATTAGAACCACATGTATCATAAAAATCTACGAAACACTGCAAGTATGAATAATAAGACACAGTTGTTCGAAACTCATCTCGTATGGAAAAATCAATATGGCCAGCATTTTGCCCATTAATTGGATCGGTTCGGTGCGAATGAATCTGGGTATGATACGGGGTTAAAAGTGTCTCCTACCGTTAGAGTCAGCTCAGGACACCTCATGGCCTAGAAAAAAAAAAAAAGAAGAATAATAAGACATGTTGCTTTGGGTACTTGAAGTTTCAGTAGATTTTATTATATATTTAGTTAAAAACTTATTATTAAAATTACATTATGAATTGAGAAATTAAATTTATATACCTTTTTTAACATACAATATTTCATAGCCTCACTTCACTAATCACTGTACTAATCCAGATCTAATTAAGTTGAATTGCATCCGTAAAATTTGATTTGGGAGAGAAAAATCTGGCTTAGAATTGTCTAACGTACGTGGCAGTGGTTAATCTTGATTTAGATGAGAAAAGATCCAAGTTAAAACGGTTTTGAGAAAGAATAGGGAATGAGTGAGGTGACGTGTCGTGAAATAAATGATTCCCGACAGAGTTTCCAAGTGGAAACGGCAACTAACGGTCCCACGTTGCCAAATCACCACATGTCTTACATCAGCGTACACGTGACCCTCCACGAGGAGCGTCTCATCAACTCCACGCATTCAAAACTCTCCTTTAAATCCGGCCACCAAGGACCTAGAGGCCTAGACTAAAGCATTCTATTCTATTCTATTCTCATCAGCTCCGATCACTCTCCGGCGGCCAATATCTGGAGATTATTATGATGATGACGACGACGAGCGACGACGTTTGGGCCCCGCAGGAGAAGGGGAAGCTGAAGAGGATAGTTTCCGGCGGAGAGATGGATACGGATCAGGAGAGCGTGGGGTCGATGGAGGAGATAGAGTCGCCGCGCTCGGTGGCGGCGAAGGGGCGGAAATACGTCGAAGTGTACGTTCACAGCCAGATTCTGAGGATCAGAGCCGAGGATTCCCACATCGGAGAGGACACCGCCGAGATTTTCAGCGGTCTCAAAGACAAGGTCGTCTCCGCCGCCGGCCACGTCGCCTCCACCGTCGTCCTCATCCGCCCCGCCTCCCCTCTCGGCGCCGCCCACACCACAATCACAACCTAACCTGCTACCTTCTTCAATTCTTCAAGGTTATTAGTTTCTTCAATTCAATTCCATTTAATTTCATTTCCTCCTTAAATTATTAATTTAATTAAAAATGATTCTTAATCTCAGGTGCAAGGAGATTATTACAGTGACGATGATGATGACGACGGCATGCATGCATGGCGGCTGGATGGCCGGGTTCTGAAGCTCATAAAAATGAACGTTTTGACGTAGAGAGTTATTCCGGTATAAAAGATCTATGCGGGTCTGATGTACAGTACGAGGTTGTAAATATAGTGAAAAAAAAAACAAAAAAACAACCGTAGTTGTTAAAGATCGATGTCTGTGTCGGTGGATATATAAATCTTGAGTTCTGATTTTCCGACGAAAAGTAGGTAATGGAAAAGTGACCGGAGATAATAAAGTCGTTCGGCTTAAATACCTTTATATATGTACACTCTGAACTGAACTGAACTGAACTGATGATCCACTAAAGAAACACAACATTATACTCCAGTGATTTAATTTGGATAAGAAATATTAAAAAATTAAAAGCAATGTTGCAGAAGGGCTAGAGCTTAGAGTGCCTAGACGGTGCGCCGCCTAATAATCCGAGTATATCGTCTTCACTTTTTTCACTCATTAGATAGTTAATTAGTTGAGTATATGACTCTAAAAATATAGAAGATGAGCAGATAGGTAGGCAAAATAATCACTCGACCGAGTTAAGCGTCAACTCGATTGAGTTAGGTACTCAACTCGGTCGAGTTGGGACCTAGGGTGGTTAGTCGATCAGCCGACTAAAAGCCACCGAGTGAAATTAGCGCCTAGTCAACACCTAGACCAATTTTTACAATATTGATTTAAAACTAGGCACTAAAAAGGGTGATTGAGAGGAAAAGGAGTTTAATTTTTAGTATATAAAAAAAAAAAATTATCTATCTTGCATAGAGGTGTTAGCGAATAGAGCTTTAGGCAAACTACTCGCGTTCGTGTTCGGTAAGCGTTCGTTTGTTAAGGTAAACGAACATTAACAATCAAAATTTAGAACCCGGTTAATAAACAAACAGAGCTTGAACAGTTGTAAGCTCGTTTGCTAAGAGATCGTGAACAAGCTCGTTTGTGTTCGTTTACTAATGTTCATGAACAGGCTCGTTTATGTTCATGAACAAGTTCGTTTGTGTTCGTTTAATAATGTTCGTGAACATGTTCACAAACATATATATTATATTATATTATATTATATTAGTTATGTAGTTGTGCTGTTTGTTTGACTATTGTTCGTTAACAAACGAATGTTTTATAAATTATTACATAAGAACAAAGAACAATGTTTACTTAGTGCACATTTCAATTATGAATTTTTAATTTACGTAGTGTATATCTAACTACGGAATTTCTTCATAAAAAAAATTAAAAAAAAAAAAAGAAAAAAGAAAAAAAGAAGAAGATATGGACTGTCATACTAATGTAAAACACCAAACAGTCAAAGGGGCTTTTGGGTGTTGGGATCCTGTTCTGGAGTAAGTCTGGTCTAAGGATGTTTTTGGATCTGAAATGCATAGCCCAATGTCCCATGAGAATGGGCGTTATGGGCCTAAACAGCACAATAAATAAAAGTAGGCCTAATTACACCAACATGTAGAGCTGTTGAAACAGGCCGACGAGCCCGCCATATGATAGGGACAAACTAAAAAGTCCGTCAAAATACGGGCCTAAGGTAGGTCGTCCTGTCCCGCCTTAAGCCCGCGGGGGCCCGCCAAATTTTAAACAATTTAATTTTAAATAAAAATTAATATAAAAAATGTAATAAGTATATGCTAAAATAATTTAGATAGTTTAAACATATAACACAATAATAACTACGGAGTAATAAATAACCAAATACATAATGTGTATTTGGCCTTAATTATATATATACACTAATATTAGTAATATAAATTTTAATTATTATACATTTAGCCGGGCCCCGGCCCGTGGGTTAAGCGGAGGCGGGCTAGAAAGCCCACCAAAAAACGGGCTCAAAATATCAAAGCCTATCCTGCCCTTTTCGCAGGGCGAAGCGAACTAGCCCGGCGGGTTAAGCCCGTTCTGACGACTCTATTAACAGAGCAAATTATGTTGTGGACTCAAGTAAATTCGGATTATATTCACAATTTTTGAACTCTATATTCACAAAAGGAGTCACAGAGGTGACATCTGAGCACAAGGTATTTGGCTAGTCAAATTCTTCTTAAAAGGTCCTTAATAGCATGTATACGATATGGAAAATTGGCAATGCATATTCCTTGTTGTCTTGAATGACAAATTCTTTTAATCGTCATCACAGAGTTATTTTCTAATACCACTTATTTAAAACTGCGATTTCAATACAAGATTAAATCATGATAAATGGATCTAATTCTTTTTTAAAATCGCAAAAAGTTGCTTTCTCTTTTATCCCAATTAAAATATTACGGTGTGAAAAAATTAAGAATATTATAAAGATTAGGAGTATCTTGGATGGGCATCATCTACCTCGAGCCTTCCACGTTGTGGTCCATGGCCATACTGCCTTGAGGTTTTAGCTGTTACCAATGTATAGCCTATACTAATCTTGTTGTCACAATTATTATCGTAATCCTAAAATTATGATTATCATCATTATAAATGATGACTTATTAAATACACAATTATATATTGGAATTAGGAATTATGTTGACCGAGATTTTCACATTTTCAAGAAAAAAAAAAAAGAGTATAAAACATTTTAAGACAAACTCTATATTGCGATAATATAATATATAATTGTGTATTAATACTCAATATAATCAGGTATATCATGCATAACTGTACTTAACATTATCTCTAATTTAAATAAAAAGATAAATTTGCCTTGAAATTAAAATGGTCGTTGAATATGTGCAGTCGAACACGATTCATATACCAAAAAAAAATCACGATTTTGATTATTACCAAAATATTTTTTCACTTGTTAGGATCAAACATTTACCACTCGCCAGAAGCTATAGCTAGTAGTGAAGCGCGACTTATTTCCTTACGTATAGACCGCCATCACATTGTTCAAGACAGGCTAGGTGCTTGACTTAGCCCTTAGGAGCTTTACCGGCTTCCGCCCAACAATCTCCCAACCAACAGGTACTAGACATGGCCCATTTACCGGCCTTGGCCAACAATTCCCCATGCCAGCGTCAACCAATTTTAATTGTTATTACTAAGAATCGAATTCGTGAACTGGCTTTGATACTACTTACTAGGATCAAGTGCTTACCTCTCATATCAAAAATTGGTGTGAGTGATAAATGCTTAATCTTAACATCATTAAGCTCGTCACATGGGATCTTCTGAATATAGTTTATTTTTCATGTGTAACACTTTTCTAACTAAAGTCATATCCTTTAATTAATCACATATAATATATAGTAAGAGGTTTAATTAAAGGGCATTCGGCCAAAAGTATTAGCACATGCCTAGGAAGAAGTAGAAGTCTAGTAAATGTGATTAGGGAAGCTTAAACTAAGGTCTAAATCATTTCACCGATTGAAATGTCGCCAAAAGTGACAACACTACCACAACCATAGCCACTTCATTTTCAATAATAAATCCTTTTCGCTTACAAACAATAGCCTTTAATTTAATTTGTTTGTTAGCTAGCTAGCTAGTGTTGAGTAACAATAATCTTCATCATATGTGTACCTAATTCATCACTTTCAAACAAGTTAACTCAAATGAAAAAGACTTAAATCGTTGTAACAATATTATTGACAAAAATTCATTATGAATTTGATTATTGTTAATATACTTTTTGTTGAGTGTATCATACATGCATGGCTTTTTTTAGTATGGTCTATTTATCATTTGTGATTTGTGAATTATTACATGATAGTGAAGTTTACCCAATACTTATCATTGAGTATGTAGTGACTTCAGATTCTCCTCGTTACAATAAAAAGAGTTTGAACAACATTGTCCGCACGAGCTTAGTTCAATAGTTCAGTAGACACTATTTGATAATTGGGAGAAGAGAGCAAGGTTCTAATCTCGGTGATGACAGTTTGGGGATTATGCCCAAAGTGGGCAGATCCTTATGCTATCTTTAATAGCGATTGACGATTAAAGTAATTTAACCACTCACATTTTACTCCACCAGTACTACTTCAATCTTGTTATTCTCAAAACAAATCTCTGAATTAGTCTTCTTCAAAACTCTTTTAAAAAACTCAATAGCTTGAAACAATTGGTAAGCAGATTGTTAATGCAATTACAAGGTAATTAAGATGTTTGATTCTGCTTGTAAATGTACGTTATGTGAATCTGTATTAGTGTCATAGAGATAAAGATATTGGATGTGATATTAAAATAAAAAAGAGCATCTCCTAACAAAACAAATATAGTACATTTGTGTGTCAAATATTTAGCAGACCAAACCATTTCTTCCTTGTACCTTCATAGGACATATGTTGTCATTAAACAAGTTGAGTATAGTATACCTATCAATTCATTCACATGGTCATGATTCGTCAGCTAGATCATACAATACAATACTAAAGTTTAAGAAAATAATAATTAATATAATAATAACAATAACTTACAAACCTCCCAGTACGGGCTCAACTGAGAAAATGCTGACAATAATTAAACTCGTAATTTTCAAATACAATAATCATATTCTACCCACTTAATAACATCTTTCGAGCATACTAAACAATTGTTCAGTATATATGTAACATTACAATAAAAGACACTAATATCATCGAGAATCAAATTACTTAGCACCCGCCATTGGCTAGCTAGGGTGTTACCATTTTGTGTGAATCACACCATCATTAGTTAATTGATAAAATATAAATAATAAAAATGTCATCTTTTCTGACTTGATTTGCTATTAGTTTAACTTTATTTTATAATACATGCAATAAATAAGCAGAAAAAAAAAAAAGTAGAATGTTATAATATTACTACTAGCTAGGTAGGATGTTATAAATAATTTAATAATGTTTGTACTTAATTAAGATTACGGTATGGGTGAGTGGCGACATTGTTCCCTAGAAGATGCTATGAACAAGCTAATAAGCTAGCTATTAGCTATGATATAATCAGTCTTTAACTAACATGTTGGACCATGCATGGACCATTCTAATTACACCATATATATATATATATATATATATATATATATATATATATATATATATATATGGTGATGTACTGATGTTCCTATGAGAACTAACTTTTCCATAAATTTATGAGAACCAATCTGGTGTATTAAAAAAATAGATCGTCTATGGATAAGATTAATTGAGAAAATTAAAAATACGCTTGTGCATATGAAACATTTTGATGTGTACATATTAAGCATGTGTCATGTGCACCATAGGAACATCACGATGGACTCGCTCCTAAGGTTCATGAGGAGGTAAATCGAGCGTGTTCAATTTCAAAATTTAACACCGTT